GGTTGAGAAAGTATCTATAGGAGTAATTTAGAAAAACTTGATAGATATGAGAAATAGGTCTTATATTTAGGATCAAAATCAACTCAACAAATATGTTTTATATTAAGGGATCAGAAGAGTATTATATATTGACAAATTTGAAGTGGATGACTGGGATACACGTAGTCTCTTTGACTTCCTTAACCAAATTATTAATGTCAATGATTAAAACGTATGTAATAATTTTTGTTGTTGTTGCATTAACCAAATTGGATTTTTTATTCAAAATTATTTAACATCAAACTTATCAATATCCTCATCAAATATAGTGTGAAGAATAAAAGAGATCACATCACAAGCATTTAGCGTAATTCAAACATTAAAAAGAAAAATAAGTCTAGCTACCAAATTATAATTATAGTTATTCCTACCGATTAAAAAGCTAAAGGAAATTAAAATCGTGTTTTATAAGTGATTTTTCAAATCGTTGTCGCCAAGACGCCAATGGTATTCCTAGACTACTCAATAATAATACTACCTCCAGTTTTTAATATAAGAGTTCATTTGACTTTTATTTTGGTCCTAAGTATAGAACCCAATCCACTATGTCTCTTATATTTATTTATTTTTTCTCAAAATAGTCCTTGTAATAATGGTAGTTCTAGTTAATACATTTGATTAGTAAAGATATTTTAGGAAAGACAACACATATTTATTACAAATAACTAACTTAACTAGTTTTCTTAATTTACTCAAATTAGTCAACTATCTCTTATATTAAAGATGGAAAGTAGTATAATGGAATGTAGAAAGACTCCAATATAATGCAATGTTGGGATATATATATATATATATATATAGATGACTAATGAATGGATCAAATTTGAAGGTACTGTCTTAATTTAATTAATTTTAATTGTAATTTCTAAAGTTTTGAGTTTTAAAAGGATAAATTAATGTGTTTCCATCCTCATTCATCAATTAAAGAAATAAAATGCGAAGACAAATATCGTCTAAAAAGTAATAAAAGCTCAATATCTTTTCTTTTAAGAAAATGGTGCATATCCCTTATTTTAAATGCTGGTAAAAAAATCTTGTTTTTTTTTTTTAAAATAATGCAAGCACTACGTGTGCGACAGTCAACCTCATACAAACTCTTTCTATAATGCGTACATGTGGACCATTACACACAGAAAGAGATTAATCTATGTGTGTGTACATAATATTCCCTCTATTCTTTTTTATAAGCGACCTTGAATTCTATGATGTAGATAAAAAATTTAGTTAAAAAATAAATAAGTAGAAATTAAAAGTTTTTTCTCCAAAATATCCTTATTTATAGAAAGGAAAGAGTATAATAAAGAGAATTATGAAATTGAGAGAATGTAGGGAGAGAGATGATGGTTTGAAAAAATAAAATAATAAATATATTGGATATTAAAATAAGTAATTAATGGGGCAAAATAGAAAATTTGTTACAAAAATTTAAGACAACTTACAAATATTGCATATATTTAGGGACACAAACGAGATAGTAGTTGTTGCTCATAAAAAAGGGACGGAGGGAGTGTTTAACGAGCCATGGAAAATTAACAGGGCAAGTAAAATAAGAGGGAAAACAGAGAAGAAGATAAGATTGATAACAGAACATATAGGAAAGAAGGGATTATAAGGTGATTAATTATAACAAGGAGGGGAGAAAGTGAAGAAAATAAGAATAAAGAATATGTATAAGTAGAGAGGAAAAGGACCGTATGCAGTCTGAAAGAGAATAGTTAAGAAACAAGAGATGGGAGAGAATGAAAGGAGAGGCTTTAGGAAAAGGCGCATGTGGTAGGCCCTCTCCTTATTATTATTTTATCAATTTTATGACAAGTTTAATTTGTTAGAGAAATAAATAAATAAGGAGGAAGAGAAAAGTGATCGAGAAAGAGAGAGAATTATTGATGAGTGATAGGCCATGTTTCGCGGATGCTGCCAATCCTAACACACCACAATAACCTTAACCCTACTTTCCTTCTCCCTTAAATTATCCAAACGACCATCATCTTTGGGAATTTGCATGTTTGTGTAAGATAATGATCAGTAATGTACCAGCAGTAATCCAATGATACAAGTAATTAGGCAAAACCCACATAAAACAAAGTTATTATCCGAATTTTTGTTCATGTTACCACTACAAAAAAATAGACTTTAGGCGACGACTAGAAAAGTCGCCGCTGAAAGTCTTGGTTTCAGCGGCGACTTTTTGGTGTCGCCGCCGAAAGTGGACTTTCAGCGGCGACTTTTCTAGTCGCCGCAGAAAGTTCGCCATTGAAACCAAGACTTTCAGCGGCGACAAAAGTGTCGCCGCTGAAAGTGGACCTTCAGCGGCGACTTTTCTTGTCGCCGCCAAAAGTGGACTTTCAGCGGCGACTTTTTTTGTCGCCGCTGAAAGTATAATATAATAATAAATATTTTATTTTACAATATTAATAAACAAATTGCCGAAAGTGGACCTTCAGCGGCGACTTTTTTTGTCGCCGCCGAAAGTGGACCTTCAGCGGCGACTTTTTTTGTCGCCGCTGAAAGTATAATATAATAATATATATTTTATTTTACAATATTAATAAACAAATTGCCGAAAATGGACCTTCAGCGGCGACTTTTTTTGTCGCCGCCGAAAGTGGACCTTCAGCGGCGACTTTTTTTGTCGCCGCTGAAAGTATAATATAATAATATATATTTTATTTTACAATATTAATAAACAAATTCAATCTGGCTCAGCGACAAGAAGGTTGGACACGAAGGGAGGCGGTCACAAGTTCGAACCTGGAAGAAGACACATTTAAGGTGAAAATATTTAGACGATGACGTGGCGAGGAGGAGTGACGTGGCGATGACGTGGAGGTCGACGGTGCTGACGTGGCGGCCGGAGACGATGACGTGGCACCGGCGGTGATGACGTGGCATTGGTAAAGCCAATTCTTCTTAGGCATTACTTTCAGCGGCGACAAAAAAGTCGCTGCAGAAAACACTTTCGGCGGCGACATTTGTCGCCGCTGAAACTTCTAAAAGTCGCCGCTGAAAGTATCTTTTAACGGCGACCTTTTTAGTTGCCACTGAAAGTTTTTAGCCACGGCTGCTACGGCAACGACTTTTCAGCGACGACTTGTCGCCGCTGAAAGTCAATTTTTTTGTAGTGTACGTACACAGCAAAATTAAAACACCACACCCGAGAGAGAGATACAACTTTTTCCATTTGATAACCATTATCTCTAATACCACCTCCAGTCCTAATTATAAAAACTAATTGACTGATTTGAGAAGATTAAGGAAAGAAGTTAAGTTAGTTATTTATAATAAATAGGTGTTGTCTTTTCTAGAATATTCTTGCTAATCAAGTGTATTGGCTAGAACTATCATTGTTAGAAGAACTACCTTGAAAAAAAAATATATAAATATGATAGACAAATTAGATTGGAATCTTATATTTAGGACCGGAGGTAGTATTATTTCAAATAAAAGGAGCATATCACATTTCATAGCCCCTATATTTTCCAATAATTTAAAAGAGCATTCATGTCAAGGGTACCTTAAATTTTATTATAACATGTTTAGTAACTTTCTAGATCTGTGCATTCATGTCAAGGGTATTATTACTATTACTATTATTATTATACTTCTCACATTATTACCGCACAAAGCTAGTGATCCTCTACTACATATGTCTATAAACTGACATTTTTCTCACTTTCCTACTAGACTTTTAATAGAATAACTAATAATAATTAATGTATGCATGGCTACTGGCTAGTGGCTGCCTTGACTTAATTCTTAAGTAATTTTATACAGAATAAAGCCACACACACACACACACACACATAATTTTTTTGACAAATTATATTGAAACTTAAGGCACATAATTGCCATCCCAACATACTCCTGACGGGCATCTTTATGCATGGGATGAATAGTGCTACATATAATTATTATTGCGCATGCAAGAAATTTTACTTGTCCTTCATTAATTCAACTACAATAATCAAACAATCGATCCTATGTGTGCGCGCGCGCGCTTGCTTTTCTTATAAAGAATTGTGCAGGTCTCATGCGTACAAACACGCGACTGTTTCTGTATAGTATTTTATGGTGACACGTCAAACCAATTCAACAATCATCAATTATATACATATTTATCAAATACATAAATATATTCCCCCCAGTTAATTCAAATAATGAAACCAAAGTATCATACGTAATTGTGTTGGTCGAGCTATTTCGATGGGATCCCACGAATAATACAAATTCCATACACATGTTCATTGTCTGGTGTCCACACACACACCCAATTCAATGTATTCATCAGGAGACATCTAGAAGGACTTCAATGGACATTAATGAACATTATTGTATTATTGGTCATAATCAGGTCGCAATTATTTTATACTACCTCCCGTCTAATACCTATTTTAAAAAAGATAATATTTATTTATTACAAATAACTAATTTAACTAATCTCTCTAAATTAGTCAACTAAGTCTTATATTAAAGACTAGAAGTAGTGTATATGTATAAAAGTTACAAGAGATTAATTGAATTTCTATAATACAAACGAGGGTGTGGCATCAACTTGCCATCCTTTGGTGGGGACATATGTGAGTGTGAGAATAATGCTTTGACGTGATTCGTATTTTATAGCGAGTTTTTTGTTTGTATTGGAAGACTAAGATACAAAAATCTGTGTGTTTGCGTTATCACTTTATTTAATTTTAAACCAGCAGCATTATCACTTTATAAAGGTTCGACTTTTTAACATATATATGTGTGTGTATACGTAGATGTATATTCTTTTATTACATACTAATCCGAAGGAATACGACTCGTTCTGCTTTTTAACATGATTCTCTAGGGTTTTGGCTGTGGGCCATCCACTCCATGTGCCACCATGTGCCCTGTCTTTCTTTCTTGGCCCCACCACTCTTCTCCTTCTACCACACATAAATTCCCTTTACTTCATTTTCTCTTCCTTCTCATTCATTCTCTCTTAGCTTTTCCCACTCCTCGTTCCTCTCTCTTCTCATGATACTTTCTTCTTCCATCTGCAACAACTTCATTTCCCTCCTCCTCCTTCTTCTACTTCCTCTCCGAGTCTGATACAAGAATTTCAGCAAGGTATTCATTATGTTTTCCATTTTAGCTTCTTGAATCGAAGCAAACATTACATGTGATCTTTATGACATTTTTCGTAATTGCTTTTGAAAATTCACATGATACTATTTTGCATCTGTAATAATTGCGATTATACATCATCCCGTGATTTCTGCAATTTGAGACACGGCTAGCTTTTGCGCACCCACACACACACACATATGTTCTTTAAAAGAAACAAAAAGTCACAGGTAAATAATAGGTATATCAATAAGGTCATTTTACTTATATGTGTGCCATCGTTTTACCGCAGAACCTAAAAGCAAACCCTAAGAAACCTCATAAAGTTTTGGTATTTAAGATGATCTATAGCTGTACTGTGATCGCATGAGGTTTCTTTTTCTGACGCCACATATCTCCATATATCAATCTTTGAACAGAAGAATGCGAAACCCCAGTTCTGTGAAGCGAGAATTCCTCCGGAAATGGATAAAGGGTCTTGGAAAATGCAGGTTGTTGAAGAACAACATGAGCTTCTTGGAGAGAAAGAAAGCCATAAAGCTGTCTGCAGATTTAGCCATGGCTTCCACCAGAAGCGGAGCCGCACGGTGGAGCCGAGCCCTTATCGCTGAAGCCTCCTCACCAGACGACGACGGCTACAACAAAATCCTCACGGAGCACATATTTGGCTCGCCGGAGAACCAGAGGCCGAAAGGGAAAGTTCAGAGTACGACGTCGTCGTCTAGCCTTTGCAGAAGCAGAGGGATCTTGAAACGCAGCCGTCTGGTGCGTAAAGTAGTGAAGAAGAAGAAGAAGAAGAAAATAGGGTCACCAAAGGTGATGGCGAATTGGATTGCGAAGAGGTTGGTGAAGAAGAGAACGAAAATGCTCAAGAGTCTGTTGCCAGGAGGAGAGTCCATGGATGACGACGTTGTTTTGATCGAAGAAACCCTAGATTATGTACAATATCTGAGAGCTCAAGTTGAAGTCATGCGATGTCTTGCCACCGCCTCTGAGCTCACCAGAAATTCGTAAAAATGCATAATAAATCAAATCAAATCAAATCATATATAAAAATGTGGCCACCATTAATTACTCTCTCTTTATCAATATATATACATAGTAGCTAGCTATATATTTTCTTGTTGATTTTGAATGGAGAGGGTAGTAACTGAGAAGGAGGAAAAGAGGCTCCTTTGGCAATTATATATGTACAGAACAGGGGAAACATATGCAAACTGTCAATCAAAGCTTTTTGTTTTTCCTTATGCTTGAGTTTTGACTGTCTGTGACTCTCTGTCTATATATATATATATATATTTGATTCTTCCAACTTTCTACTTAATTTCTTTAATTTACATGATGATCATCCAGTGAATTATTATTAGAGAAAGTCAAGAAAGCAAATGGATGACATCAAATTAATCAAATCGATGCCTTCATTTGGGTAGAAATTCAATCTGCTATATGTATTAGAGTTTTCGTACGTGTCTGATAAAGTTCACTGTTATCTATATATACGTACGTCATTAACTGTTGGTTGTTTTTCTGTAACTGTTGTTGCTATTATTACTATTCACACATATATTCCTGAAATTTCTCCAAAATTACTTCATATGGATCCACCAAATGCATTCAAGATTTTAATTCTAAAATAATATGATTTCCCAGTCACTAAAGGATCTATTTTGTGTGTGTGTGTGTGTGTGTGTGTGTGTGTGTGGCTCAAGTGGGTTTAAGACAACTTGGCAAGTAAATGTAAGAAAATCAAATTAAGATCAAGAGAACAGTTAGAAACGTTAGATATGTCAAACGCATTAGTACTACTAAGATTTATTCTGGCATCCATGCTCAATAACATGCTATGATCAGTTTGGCCTTTTTTCAATGATGAGCGCTGTTTCACTGTTTGACTTGCGTGTTCTAATTGAAGTACTATATGTATTGGTTATTATTTACAAAGGACAATGACGTTTTCTCTAACTAATCTGGTTTTACCTAATAAACCAGTTGTGTTTGTTCGCATTATTGAAAAAATATACTCCAAAAAAAAAAACAGAGAGAGACATCGCGGTGCAATATATATATTTATCGGACAAGGGAAGCCAAATTGCCTACTTTATCTTCTTTATGCTAATATTATCACAAAGATGCACTAGCCAAAGCAACACACACGCGAAGAAATATATAAAGAATGGATTTAAAGAGAGAGTAAACACATAGTGTATGGTAGTAAGTCGTACTTGGCAGATCCTTATCAGAAGCTGGAAAGCTCTGTGTGGCCAACGAGATCGATGCTTCATTTTAACTACTTAATTATATGCATTAGGTTTCTGAATTAATTTGTATGGTCATGAGAAGCTTTCAAATCTTCAAGTTAGATACATGACCAATCAATGCAATTATTATTATTATTGAAATTTTTTAAATAAACAACTCTTAATTGTTTTCCTATTATAAATCTTTCACGTTATCATTTTAATTGGTGCCCATAAGCACGTTTAAATAATATACTGAGCTTTTGCTTCGTATATAAGAATTAATGGAAAGTATAATCATAATCCTCATTAAGATATATTCCTCATTTCCTTAATGTAGGACTTGATTTGGGAGTTGATGTTAATCCTATATATAAGACCTATTTTATAATTTTATCAATTTTAATCTACTTAAATTAGTTAATTAAATTTTATATTAAAAACCGAAAGAGTATAAACTAAATGTTTGTCAAGTGTATGGTCTGTGGAGTTGTCACTTTCTTGATCAATGGTTAGGTGCACGCCTTAAGTGCTTTCATGGTCAATTAATATATTGCCTAACTTTTCAAATAAAACAGTGGGTGGACATGTAGTATTATTATACATTTGTCATTGGGTGACATTTATATATATATATATATATATATAAAATAGCAAGAGAATATTTCTATTTTCTAGCATTTTCGTGAAAGTTATAGATTAAATGCACATTCACAATGTCTAATATAATTAATGTAGAAGGGTTTGTCCTCAAGATAGTTACGATAGTGACGCTTCAGTATGTACAGTTACATACTTTCTATCATTTGAGAAATTACAAACACTGTTGTAGTTTAAGAAATAATAAGTACAGTTTATTATGTACTAGTCATAAATAGTATAACCTGTAACGAATTTTATTATATATTCTCTTCATAGTGATATTTTTTTTCCTGATTTACTTTCAATTTGAAGTTCTGTGATGAATCAAATATTTGATCTATTATAAAAATAAATAATAATCAAGCATGATGATTTCATGATCAATAGCCTCTAATCTAACCAAACAGCGGAAAAAAGAGTTTTTTATTTCCTTTGGCAACCGAAAAATAGTACTCCTCCGGTCTTAAATATAAGACCTTTTTTGTAATATAATTTAAGACCTTTTTTGTAATATAAATTACACTATAAAAAAGGTCTTATATTTAAGACCGGAGGAGTAGAACCTTCTTTGTCATTGGGTGTGAAGGCCCGGATTCTATCCCGAACAAGAGAGAACGCTTCCCCATTCTTTTTCTTTTCTTTTCTTGGAAAAAAAAAAATCTTCATGAATCGATACAATAATGCATTAATGCAAACGGACTTCGAAATCTAAGTATTTCCTCAACTAAAGAAACTTCAATTCATCAGCACATAAGAATTCCTTGGTCATCCAGAATTATTACTATGACAAAAATTTACATTTGGATTTGGAATGAAAAAGGAAGAATAAGAATGGAATATGAATGAAGAAAGGTTGTCGACAAAGTGAGCTTCTATAGTATAGACAGAAAAAATTTGGCAGTAAAATTAGGCCCTTGAGAGACCTGTCCATAGGAGGAGTCTTCGGGGTCGATCAAGGAACCTGGCTTGCCATGCTGGTTCATCACTTTCATATACAAACCCACTCTTCACATACAATTTCCTAGCTGGTTCGTTGTTCACAGCAACATGTACATACAGATCTGTTATGCCTGAGAATAAGTAAGCAACTTCAAAATTAGGTGCCTCTGTTCCACTAGGAAAAGCTAATGCTGATTCATCCATCTCAGTTTTATATACCTAAATGAGATGTGAAAAACAACTTATTGGTAGGTGTAAGAAAGCAACCGAATCAAATCAGCTATGTAACTACACTAATGACAATAATAATAATCTCCAAGCTTCACATATTTGCCCAGAAGAACTCCAAACAATTCATTATCCTCTCTCACATGTGAACCAGAGAACATACACGCCTTTACTTGTTAGGAAAGAAATAGGTAGAACCAAGGAATTTCAAACAATAGAAAACTTTCCGATCGACAGAGGTATCTTGTTTGCCTCACTGGATTAGAACAAAAGGCTCCCTGATATCTAATCAAATCTGACTACACCAAACAGCAAGCTCCGAAAATTACCTTGGCAATTGGATACTTTAAAAACAGTGCAAATAAATAGTTACTACTCTTCTTTTAAAAGTGAAAATGTTAACAAAATCAATATCTATTAAGCATACAGTTTATTATGCAAGTTACCCCAATCATAAGCAACCATCTTTGCCTTTTCAAGAAGAGCATAGCCCAACCCATTTCTCTGCAACTCTTTGGCAACACAGACATTACTGAGGTATGCCCTTGTGATATCAGATCCCATTACCTGATCAATGGATTCGAATTAGCAACCACAGAATAATTATTAACGAATTCCTAGCAGAAATCTAATGTGACCTCATTTACATATGGGTGTGTGTGGATGTGGATGTTCATATTAACAATGTTCCCGAATATATACCTCTGGCTTCGTTCCTGAAATTTCATCAGGTAGGCAGAGGCACTGATTTAAATCAAGTGTACCAACTACAATTCTGTCTTCTCCATTGGCAGAAAACTACAAATTTAACTAAAATAAAATTAATTTTGTCAAGACACAAGAACCTGAAAACTGATATAAATATCTAATCAGACAGACAGAGCGGAAGCACATTAAACGAAGTTAATACGTGATTGCTAAGTCTACAAAGAAATACGCTGTAATGCTAAAATGATAAGCTTGAGGTTAAAAGCTGGAAGTACAACTGCGAGCGGACCAGAATCCATGACTGTCTAATGAATACGAACAGCCTGCAGACTGGAGATTTCTTAGCAGATTATGAAAAAGTCCACTACACAAGAAATATCTTGATTCTACACACATTTGCACTTGCAATCGAAGCCGTACATCATTATGCTGGCGAACCATAGATCATTCCACAGGTTGTGCAAACAAACTAGTACATGGAATCAAAAATCTGACATACTATTCGAGCAGATAGAACAAAGCTATGACATATTTTCTTCATACCACGTCCAGATAGAGAAGGAAAAGAATGAGGGGGTTAGCACTTCTTAAAATTAGGAGTCTGCTGGCTTCAGAAGAGTGAGACTAACTACTAGTACTATTTTCCCATTCTCTGTTACCCATTTTGCAGCTTGTTTATTTCCCAACCACCGAGCAACGTCTATACATATGCATGTCAATAAATGACACTCGCCATTAGATATATGCCTTAGTTGGCTCGAGGAAATCTATTTGGAAAAACGTTAATTGATAGATCAAAAGAATCTGCGAAAGAAACAAACCTTACATGCAGAGCATAATTCACTGCAAATCCTTGATACAAGCGATTCCGGAAGGGAAGCATTTATGCAAGAGACTCTTCTAAGGCCTGCTCTTGTCCCTGAAACACGTTCCTTGAGTGCTTCAAATTCGCGCTCAGTCAAGCACTTCACAAGATCCTAATAAAACTTAATGAAGATGAAATGAAATCGGGAAACCAATTATAACCTTGATAACGAAGGAAAAGGAAAAAGAAACTGAAAACAACATTGAATCCGTAATATGCTATGCATCCCGTTGTACGAAAATGTAATGAGTCACTACCTACATGGATTCCAAGAACCACTACCCCACTCAACCATCGAAAAAAAAAAAGAAGAAGGGGAAATTTCAAAGACGGTCCCATGTGCGAGGACTCAGCTATTCCTACTCAGATGGGAATTCAGAAATGTAGTCCCAATTTTTCCCTGCTTCTGAGTGATTAAATAATGAAAACTGTAAACATAAAAGAAATGGAAGTAGAAGACTGACCTGGAGGCCGAAGGTGTCGGGGGGGAATTCGCGAAAGGAGCGGACGCGGAGGGAGGAAGCGGCCCAGAGATCGTCGTCGTAGAAAGACTCGTCGAGGGTAAGCAAAGAGGTATCGATTTTGGGGGAAGAAGGAGGCATTGCAGAGATGGGTGAAGAAGAGAATTGGGTGCTGAGATTGAAAGAAGTGAAGCAAAGCCTGGAAATGAAGGAGCAAGAAGGAGGAGGAGGAGGAGGAGAATGCAGAAGATGGTTGAATAGAAAAGGAGAAGGAGAACGAGGGGACGAAGAAATCGAAGAAAGAAGAGCCATTTTGGTTATGATTCCTTGCTTGCTTCACTTCACTTCCTTTTATTCTCCCCTATCCAATCTTTTCTTGGCTCTTGCCTCTCTCCTTGCTCCTGGTTTCCAGTCCACTCGACACTCTTGGTTCTTGGAAAGCAATTTAATTAACTAACCAAGGCAAGTAATTAAAGTCGTGTAAAATGAGCTAAAAAGCAATAAATCTATTTTTTTTATATTTATACTCGTATATAACAGGAATAAGTGAGGGAGAATGCGCGATAATGAAGGTAAAAGCATTTTAATAGCATAAAAATAAACATATGGTTTATAATTTCAGGGAAAACAAAAACTTTGCTTACGTTTAGAATTAATCTTGCTTATGTATATAGAGTCAGAGGAAATAATAGTATAAATTACTTTAAAACAAGTGTTTTTGTATTTTACTGTAAAAAAAATTTTCTATTAAATAGTTATCATATTTAATACTCATCCAATCTTAAATATAAGACCCTTTTTATAGTGTAATTTACACTATAAAAAGAGTTTTATATTTACAACCGAAAGAGTAACTCATATTCTCTTAGGCTTTGTTTGGTTTAACGGGAGGAGGTTAATTAAAGAAAGGGGAAGCGAGGGGAAGGGAGGTCATAGTTTTGTTTGGTTAGAGGGGAGGGGAAGAGAGAGAAGATTTCTTGTTTGGTTCATAAGAAGAGGGGAGGGAAAGTAATTATAAATTGACAAATATGCCCTTATCTCTATATTTAGACTAATTTATTTTTTTATTACAATATTTATATCAAAATTATTATTTCTTAATTTATCAATTTAAAAAAAAACCAATTACCTCACTTACATGCAATAAAAAAAATGATAAAACTAAAAAAATTATAACACACACATTATGATATGTATATATTAATATATGCATATCATCTGAAATTATAATACACACAGGCTATCATATATAATTATATACACACATTATGATATGCATATATTAATATATATGATATCTATATATTATATAATTATAATATATTATCATTATCAAATATTATTAGTGGCTAAAAAGATAAAGAAGTGAAAAAAAGATTTTTAATAAAATGGACAAACTTAGAAATATTGAAAAGTTAATATAGGTAGTTTGGTCAACATAAGACATAATATTTCTCTCCATTCTAAAAAAAACTCTAAATTTAGAAGGGAGCATAGGGAAGAGAGAGGAGCACTAAAAGACAAATTTTTTTTCTCCTCTCTCCTTTATTTTTCTCAACCAAACACACTTATCCCCTCCCTTCCCCTCTAGCCTCTCCTCCCCTCCTCTCAACAATCCTCCAACCAAATAAAGCCTTGAAGTCAATTCCTCCTATTCTTTTAACAAAAGGCGAGAGTTTTTATGGAAATAAAGCATTTGGACAAAATTTCACCAACATAACGATTAATTATTAATCATTAATGTATAATCTTACGAAAAATTACATATATTCATATATACAGATAAAATCTTTGATCTGGTAAAGTTTAATTCTCTTGTTCCGCAAAAGCATGAACCTCCCGGCCTCAATTCAAAGCTCAGTGACGCGGTTCTTGATCATACGCGGGAGTTTAATCGATAGGGGTATAAACTTGAATATACTATTCGCAAGAATTTATTTTTGGAGAATTACATTCAAGTCCCACATAAGAGAAATAATCACTACGAAGTCCCAAGTAACAACCTGAACAGCCTGTAATAACAAGTCCTACAGTAAGAATGACAACCTCTGGGACTTGTTTTTTAATTACTTGGGACCTCATTGTAATTCTCCCTTTATTTTTATTAAAGAATTGGTATTAAAAATATAAAATTAAATAATTAATATATAAGAAATGATAATACTCCTCCGGTCTTTAATATAAAACCCAATTATTGAGTTAATTTTTATCTTAAATATAAAACCTATTTATTATATTTATCAGTTTTTTTAAATTATCCCTGTGAATACTTTTCCAACCATAATCAAGTAGAGGAGAGAGGAAAGATATTAAGACAGATAATTATGGTGTTTTAGAAAAAATATGTCATATTTCTTATAATTAACTAACTTACCTAACTTTCTTAATCTAATCAAATTAGTTAAATATGTCTTATATTAAGGATTGGAGGAGTACTTTCATTTAAATATATTTTAAATCCAAATAATTGAAATTAAATTCATCAACATTCATAATTTATCATATCTAACAAATAATTTTTCATAAAATTCATATATAAAGTCACTAAATATAATTAAAGAAAAAATTTAATACGAGTTTAAAAGTGAATTAACACAATTTCATAAGTTAAAAAAATAAAAGTAATAAACTCAATGAGTGACCTCATAAGTTTAACCAAGTTTATAGCTAACACAAGTTTAACAACGAATCAACACAATTTGATAAGTTAAAATGTAAAAACATTTGGTTCATTGAATTATAAGTAATGAAATGTAATGTAACATGTAGAACATGATGGAGTATGATCATAGAAAAGATTCTCTTCAAGAGAACTAGCCTATCTTCTATAAGGGATCTGCGTGGTAGTTGGAACAAAGAGACATTTCATCGTGAATTCAAATGTGACTGATGGAATATAGTGCAATGTAACAATGATTACACTAAGTTTGTTTGCTTTAATATTAGAAATCTCAACAAGATAATAGTTTTTATGTTAATTTTAATAATTTACAAAAACAGAAAAAAGACTAAAATATATTTATCGTATTTTCCCTTACCCCCTTCCCTTCCATGATTGTCTCCCTCCTCCTCTTTTTTCATCGCTTGTCGCCATAACTAGTGTCTAGAAACATAATCAAGGCAAAATGATTTGAAAGGCTAAAAACAAAAATAGAACCATTGGGTGGAAGACGAAAGAGAAATCAGGACTACAATGACAAACGAGGTAGAGGGCCGTTAAAGTTAATGTATATTGCCGGTCCTAAATGTCATTAGTATGTTTCGTTGCCTTCTGATCCAAATGAAAATGGTCAAGCATTGCCACTATCTAATTGATTCATCGCTTAATGGTTTGTAAGGCAAAAAAAGTTTGTTCAAGTGAGTGGCCACAGCTTTTCTTTGCCGCTACTATTTTACCCACTTTTTCTAGTCTACTTTTGTTTGTGGTTTTCACTTCAAGTCATTTCCGTGGGAGGTATTTATCGAGAATTCAGGACGAGTCTTCAAGATCTACATGAAAGACCCAAATAACTTGATTCCTGAGTTTAATCACCATTGCTAAGTAGGGAAATTGATGGTGGTGGCGAAGTCGATAAATGGCAGGAGTTTAATGAGTGGCGGCACTCACTAGGGATGAAGCGGTGACACCCATAATGATGAAGCTTGATGGTGGTAATGGAAATGGAGGAGGAGGGTAGTGGATGAAGAGATATGTGAGTAGGTAGATGTGTGGTCAAGGAGATTATGGAGCAGGTGGGGGCGAAAAATGTTTTTTTACCATATTCTCACATGTTGTAATCCTTATTCATATGTTCCATCAGTCCAATCCCTTTTACATTACTTCAGATAATCAACATTAGAAAATGTAATCCTATTTACATTATAAAGACCAAACCAAACAAATGAATCAGCCATCTATATTAAGATTACAGATAATCCTGATTTTTGTAACTAACTGAACATGCCATAAAAGAGTTAACTCATAAGTTTGACAATAATTATTAAAACCAATGCCACAATAAAAATCAGAAATATACTCTCTCATCCCTATCATATCATAAGTATCTAATGACTTTTTACTTCAATTAATGAATCTAGTCAGCATTAGTTATTTTTGGTAAAATATCAAAATTATCATGAATAAAAATCATTAGTTAAAGAAGTTTGGTTAATCATATGGATTGAAAAGTTTTATAATAAGGAAAAACATTAATGTTTTAGACAAAACTTATTATATTATGGGATTGGAGGGACTACCAATAATAGGTATCAAATTTAGTGGAAGGAGTTTTGACTACTTAATTATGAGTTTTGTATTCGGATTCGTATAAATGTTAAAAATGCCTTTAGAAAATCCACCGCGAAATATCCTTAATTAAGCCCAACAATACTTGAATTTAATTTAATCAAGTGGTCATATAAACAAAAAGTTGGAGGGAATATTAATAAAGAGAATTGTCGAATCACGTCTCGTTCCCTCTTTTCTAAACAAATAGAAAGAAATTAGATATGTGAATTGCTTTGAATTTTTTTGTTCATAATAAATTTTTTTAAATTTAATTTTCTTTGAACTTTTTTCCATTTTTTATTTTTTTTAAAATGTAATTTCTAAAAAGAATTTGTTATTGTGCTAATTCACATTTTTTTATCTGAAGATGTAAATTATTTTGGTTTTCTTAGTTTGAAGATGTAGATTATTTCTTAATTTCAAATTAAAAAATTTTATTTATACTAAAATTAAAAAAATAGTGGTCAAGAAAAATAATTTTTAATAGTAAATCTATACTTTCCGTAAAACGTGTAGACCATGCACGTATCATAGTTTTTTTTTTTAAAAAAAATTATCCATTTTTTAAAATATATTAAGTGATTGTTGTGAATAACGGAGTGTTTTGCTTCTTTATTTCTAACTCAGGGTTTTCTTTTTGAGGTTAAAAAAATAAATATTATAATATTCATGCCACTAGATTAGTTTTAAATTTTGAAAGTAGAAAAAAAAATCAAAATGCAGGTTTAAACAAGTCAGCTTTTTTAATTTTCAACCTTATAGGGCGATTATTTTAAATCCAACTTATTTTTGAAGATCCCAAATTATAAAGTTGACCCTCTTTTTAAATGGACCGGCCTAATATGTTTGGCCTGTTTTTCCAACAATACTAAAATAAAACTCTTCTTATATACATGCTTTATATTTTTTTTTTTATTAGAACTAAAATTTGCCATTGGTGAAGGCTATTATGGCACTTTCAAATTAGCTCTAAATAGGTTAGTGCCGTTCTTAACCTTACGTGAGAAGAGATTTTAGATAACTCTCTTTCCACGTCCGAAACCAGCGATGAGTTTAATGGCAAAGGCTGAAGGACGAGCTGACAAAGCATAAATAGCAGATATCTGCTTTTCTTATACACGAAAAAGAAAATAAAAATCTGGGGGCCAGTGAAAATAATGGAAGAAAAGGATTGGTAGAAGAGTGTGAAGGAGGAGGTAGGTGGAGGAAAATGGGTTTTCAGGATGAGGAGGAAGGAAGGAATTAGAGGATGAAACAGAACAGAGCAAAGCATGGTACTGTAGGTGTTGCATGATCTTATGTTTGTCTTACGTAGGCGGCTGCAACAAAGTTCAACGCTTGAAAGAGATATGACTCTGCCCTCTCACCTTTAAGACCTACTGGATTCCCCATGTCTTGTCCCATCACCCTCCTCCCATGCATCATCATTACAATACCAAAAACCAAAAAACTCAAAATTCTCCCTTTCATTCATTTCGTTTACATATAGCTTCTTCTCCAAATTCACAGCTCAACCCCGTATATCTATAGTATATTTTGATCCCTTGGCCTGTTTTTCAGGTTTCTAGCTCCTTGTTATGGTAAAAGGCTAATACCAATAAGGCAGAGTATATCCCCCATATTGCATTTATGTTTGGTTTCTTGTCTTTCATGGAAACAAGTTTCAATCTTGCTCACAACCTTTAAAGCTCAAGTCAGCAACCATGTGAGTGTATCAGAAAGATTAAAATTAAGAATCCCACGAGGAGCTGCAAGGATATAGTGATGAGAAGTAAGTGACAAGACCAAGTGCATTGCATATTTTCGATTCCCTATCATTAATCCCTTCATTTATTTTTTTTCTCCTCTCTTCTTTTTTTTGGATGAAATTTAGCAGTATTTGTTTTACCCTTCTCTCGTAAGAATTGATTGCGGCCATGCCCCATACTGTTTCAACTTTGGCTTTCTTGGAAATTTGAGTCCAAGTTCCCACATACGTGTTTGTTTTCTTATATGTGCGTATGGGTTTCTCAATAATTTACGTGACTGAGGGGGTAAAAGATGTGAGGACAGAAGAGAAGCAGAGAGAGAGAGAGAGATGGTCGAGTCACATTGCTTAATTCTTATGCGTACTTTATGCCTTCTCCTCTCACATCACTTCCCACTTTTGCTTTCTTTCTTTCATGAAAACCAAACATGACCTCTCGCTGGAGCAGAGAAAGTGACAGAGGGCAGACAGACACATCAACACCGAAAGAGTCATTAATTCAAAGGTTCTCTCCATAAAACTGGAACACATTTTTGGAATGTTTTTGCAGTCTCATGGCTTTCTTATTTCCACCGTTCTCTCATTTCACTATGTCAAATTATCAAATATCAAACCCATATCCTTCTCCTCTGCGAGCACCCATTCTTTCCCATTTATATCACTTCAAAATCTTGTCTTTAGAGTCCCTTCAAATGATTCCGGGACGTTCAATCATCCAATCTCTCTCCCGTGCCGGCATCGGTGACATTGGCCTTCTTTACTGCAACAAACGGAGACTGAAGAAGAAGAAGAAGGTGGTGGCAGCTGGACTGTAACTGTGATGGCGATATCCCAATTGAGCTTTAACTATATGTTGATGTTTTTTTTTTTTTTTATAACTTGAATCCTTCTCTTTCTTGACCTTGCAAGACTTGGAAGCTCTTGCAAATTTGTTACCGCAGCCTAGTATTCCATTACTTTCTTCATATTTTACTTTCAATGTGTCAGCCACTCCCAGCTCAACACTTTTCTGCTATTCCTCCTGAGCTTTTCAGCTTTGATCTGGTTATTCGAAATGGCATCCATGTAAGCGTTTTTCTGATTATTGTATGCACACAGTACTTTAATATGGTTGTTCCACTTTAGTGTTCTTTGTATTTCTCCACTCCTCTCCAGTAAAGTCTTCTTCCGCAGTTTGTTAATCATCCAAAAAGAAAATAAAGGCAATTCAGCCGCCTTAGACTTTCTAATCACTTAGTTTTCGAGTTTTTTTTTTTTTTTTCAAAAAGGGAAAAAAAAACTTTCATGTAGATATCCTGATCCAAAACGCCAAGCACAATGCAAACAACAGCGAGTAGGCGCGTGATGTTTACAGTTGAATCCAGCGAACGAATATTCTTTCTTAGAAGAAAAGGTTTAGTTTTATATATTAAGTCTAGCATTCAGATTGTAGCATGATAAAATTTACACCTGGACCGCAAGATGCTGAGCCAGAGACTGAGAGTTCTCCACAGTACGGCGAATGTACTACCTCTTTTGGCATTTGTGTGTTTGCCAAAAGCTTAATTATATTTTAAAAGAAATTGTTGGTAACAAATTCAAGATTTCCCAAAAATACGCTGTAATTTTGACATAATCTTGAAGACCAGTACAGGAATTTGCAGAATATAACTGTGAGAGAATACATAAGACGCGTGTAACCAGCAGCTTTCTCGCATGGCAAACACCACATGCGCGTGTAGCACATTTTGAATAATGTCTCTGCACTACGTAGGTTTTATCCTTAAACATTGAATTTCCCTACAGAAATTTTTTTTGGGGGGGGGGGGGTTGTCTAGAAACTGAAGTGTGAACTTCGGTCGAAAAAAGAAGCAATTTTTTTTCCTCTGCTGAACAAATGGGTGGTATTGTATTTACAAGCCAATATGGACTATCAATAGAGGTTTGGAGCTTTGCATCATGGGATTTTTAAAGGGCTTGTAGGCCGGGCACTGCTAAAACTTGCGGAATGAATTAAGAAGAGAAAAGAGACCCCAAAATAAAATCAGAATCCATCTCCAGTGGCAACAGATTGATTCAGTGAACAAAACCAAGAGGATGACTTTCTTCCCTCTTGGGCAGAAGATGTTCTTCTAAAACCAGAACCAGGACATCGCGGCAAGTGGCTCCTCAGACTCCGGTTAGGAACCACGGAGGAGCTAACATCGGCTCCCAAGCACAGGCTCGAGTTGAGCCTGAAAGAAGGGAACTTCTGGCAGCTCAGGGAGCGGAACGAAGCAGCAGAATGGGAAACCCGGTGAGTTGGCTTGCAAAAGGGGGTTTTCATGCTGGGAGGCTCCTCTTCAGGCTCCAATATCTCACTGGAACAGGTGCAAAACGATAGGGACAAGTTTGCGATCCGGGACACATCCTTCATCAACGGTCTCGTGTCAGGAAGCTTGACGTACGACACAATGCCGTGCCGGCAAAGTGGACATGCAATTGAGCCTGGCGGTCCTTGATTAGTTGTTGGAGCTGAGTTTGTTGAACAAAGATACAAAGCACATTGTGTGCAGAACTCATGGTCACAACCTGCATGTCAAAAGCGCAATGCTTATGAATGAGAGCCCTTGATACATCATATATAAATTTGTCATATTTGGGGAACATGTACCTTCCACAGCTACCATACATTTCCTTTCCAAACAAACAGAACATGGATCAGAACATGGTGCTGTTGTTTCAACTGCCCTCCACCCACATTCTCTGTCAAGGATCATGACATAATGAGGAAAAAAACGGAGTGAGAAATTAGAGGATATTTACGGTTGGTCAGCTTGCTTAATCAAATTGAGTCAATATAATACGAAGCTAATTATACACCTTAATTTCGCAAAATCAGTGACAAATTTTACGTATCTAGCCTGTAATCTAATTTTGGTGACTTCACATGAAAATAAAAGCACTAAAAGGACTTAATTTATTTAGTTAGGACATAAATAGAAATAATGAGACAAAATTCTTATGGCTCAGAGGCAGAAAAGCAATGGGATTTGCCTCCAAGAGATCCCAAATTTGCAAAATCCATCAAAAACTGTTTAAATGATCATTCCTGTCACGTCATTTTGAGTCTAAATCCATTGAAAGAATCATGTATAAACAAAGAGGAAAAATTGGTTGCAACGGTAAATGGATAGCAATGACAAGGCATACCTAGCAATTTTCACAATGCTCTTAAGTGGAAGAGATAAATATGGCGAAGGAAGAACTTGCAAGTCTTCTTCTGGCCCATTGGTCAACATGTTCTCGAGCCAATTTCTATGCCATGAACGAGCAACCATCAAGGGGGTCCATCTTCAAACCAAATAACATGTCAGAAGTAAGCTAGCAAATTTAAAACCCAGATAAACTAGTGCCTGAAACAGTATAAATTGCAGGTTTCCTCATCAAGATGCAACAAAACATTATAAGCACTAATGTAAAAGGTGAGTAATATGAATTTGACAATACATCAAATCATGGCAACATGAATGATCCAAAATTTGAAACTTCGAGGGTAAATTCAACCTAAGCTTCTGCCAGAACCCTTAGTGAATTGTTTAGCTCCATCGGCGGATCATTCAATTACTTATTAACTAGAGGACCATGTTATCCAAATCTTTACCATAAGAGGCGATATATGTATGATGTTATCACACATGCAGAAACGAATTGAAACTTAGGACACATACCCATTTGCATTTTCAGCAGTTAGACTGGCTCCTTTGAGAATCAAAAGCTGAAGCAAACAAAGGTTACAAAACAAGGGTAAAACAAAGAATAGAAAAGAAAATTAACCTTTAATCCAGCAATATAGTCTTCTTCTTCTTTTTTTTTTTGCAAGTTCATTAGGAAGAATAATTATTAGAAAAATACTTGACAGCATTGAGCATTTCCGCCACACGCAGCGTAATGGAGGGGGGAGCTCCCAGCACCTGCAAGTAAGAATAGACACAATTAGTAGAAGCAAAGTGACAAAATCGTCCCTCGCTTATTGTTATTTTTTATCTTCATTTATAGCTTAATATTATCAGCCATATTTGAAAAGCACAACGGGCTAAAATGCTAAATACAAGCGGGGAGACTGGACTCTTCAGCAGTGACTACCTTTCTTTTATAAGAAGGAATATTTAACTGTAATATCTCTGTATGAAGATTACATTCCAGAGATTTATTATAAGATGCCGACAGAGGAATACTATGTCTCTGTTAACTTCAAAATATTTCTCCGATACACATGAATATATTCTGTTTAATATAATGCATGTTTGCCTCTACCATGATTATATAATTCACTTGTTTAGATTTGGGGGAAAAAGCGCATCTCCAAAGTAAATGTTTGATGTCAAAATATCACATTCCAGGAAAAAAAATCACAAAAACCAGAGAATGCCAGAATGTGAAAATTACCAATTAGATCAATTGTAGTTCCATCCTCTACAGTAACCTCAGACACATAAGCTCCCAGGTCTAAGAGTAATTGCACACTTTCAACATGGCCATTCAATGCTGCCATATGCAGAGCAGTGATCCCTCCATCAGAAGTTCTGTTAATTACCTCGCGAAGACCACTTGTATCCAACAAATGAAGACAAAACGAACTCAATCTAACAGCATAACACATGATCTATGACTTCAAGAGGATTTTTTTTTTTTGGGGGGGGGGGGAGTGAAAGTACCTGTCATCAAAGTCAGGGATCGATTTATGATCACCTTTCTGCAGTTTACTCCAAAAGTCAGGGATGCTGGGTATGTAGTCTGCAAGGAGGAGACGGATACACCTGGAATGGCCATTTAAAGCAGCCAAGTGCAGTGCCGTACCTCCATTAAGATAATCCGCTTTATGAATCTGCAATCCCGTTTCACAAACATCTTTTCACCACTCATTTCATCCAAAAAAAAAAAAACCTTTAACTGGTGGTAATAAAAAACACAAATTGTCCAGGACTATTGGATTTACATTGGCGTTGAACAGAATCAGGATCTGTACCACCTCCCAGTGACCATGTTGACAAGCTTGCATCAATGCAGTCTGTTTATATGAACAATCGTTGAATCAAAACATAACGTTATTCATACCAAAAGCACACAGCTTTATAGAGAAGGAAATTTAAATGTGAAAGAAGAAATCATTCGAGAAAAAGAACATGACTTCACCTGACCCCGATAGTTTCTGAGATTTATATCAACTCCAGATTCCAGCAAGAGATATACTATCTGCACAGCATGCAAAACACAATCAAGAACAATAACAATCTGCGACCTTGATACGAGAAAAAAGATCGAGTGCATTAGAGAATTGCAAATACCTCATGATGGCCATGAGCTGCAGAGTAATGCAGAGGGGAATTTCGAACTCCAAAAGTAGAGTACCTCGCGAGTCGAGGATTATATTCCAATAAGGCTTTGGCCTCTTGAATGTCGCCATCTCTTGCTGCAGAAACCAATCTCTCCCCAGAGGCTGAACAGCCGAAAGAATTCCCCACAAGGCTTAGAAACCTCATGGCTCCCTCTTAAGCAAATCAGCCTCACTTAGGAATCAGATTCATAAAAGGGTCCAAAACTTCACACGTCAAGACAATTCACCCAATGATATATCCGCAGAAGGTTTGGTCAAACCTCAATCAATCCGAAATCACTCAACTGAAATCGACATGTCTTCGCAGAGTTTCTTCCTTCTCACCAAACTACCAACAACTCCAACGAGGTTTCTGAGACCCCGAAACGAATTGGTTGTAACGGTCAAAACCAATTAGTCTCTGCAGGTTTGCCTGCGCAAACATCGAAGCCAGAGGAAGTAGTTAATACTCAGAGTTCTAAAGCTAAACTACTCGTTTAAATATTAAAACAGTTGTTCTTACAGATTGGGTGATTCCCTCGTGAACTTCGAGAAACCCAATACATACACACAAAAGATAAAACAGCACAATCAAAATAAAACCGATGTACCTTCCGATGAACTTCTGTTGAATCCCCAATCTGCCAAAAAACAATCCCTTAGAATGCGATGAATCGAGCACCCCGTTCTAGATATTTCTTGAAGGAGGAATAAGAAAACCCAAATAGGTATATCCCACAAAGAATCAATACGCCCCCATCAAACACCACCTCGAAAGTGTTTCCTTCTGGTAGGAATACGTAATGTTGTTTTTATGAAGGATGAGAAATCTTGTTTATGGGGGAATATTGATCAAACCTCCATGAGCCCCCAGAGAGAGAAACTTATTTACAGCGATGACGAGAGAGAAGAAAGCGAAAGGAAAGACTAGATTTTTTTAATTGGCTTTTTTAATTTTGGTTAAAAGTGGGATTTGCCAAAAATATGGAAAAAGAGGGACAGATGAGAGGCGCAATTGAAGAAGGCAAACTTTTGATAAATGATGATGCGTGGGGGCATGATTGATTGGGTATTATTAGAGAGTCAACTAAGTGGTTGTTGTTAAGCTCCTTTCTTTGCTCGCGCCCTCCCTCTTCGCAGCAAAATTTGCAGACCCCATTGTCGAAACCACCCCAGCTAGCTCATCTTCTATTAATTCTTTAACTAATCTTGACTTGGTTAATATTAAGTTTCAGTCATAAATCAAGCAATTTCTCATTTCAAGTGGGCACATCTATGATTCAACATAGCAAGTAAAAAAGTTCTTTCTTTTTTTTTTCCGGATAACTTTCTTGACACCAAAACACAAATTATAGAGTATTTAATGAAGGGGGAGTTTGGTTGAAAAAGAAAGTGATTCCACTCGTCTTTTTATATTAAATCATGACGGTTTAAAGCTTAATTACTACTTATGCTCAGCTCATCCTTGTATTAAAAATTAAGTGTGTGCCCTCCTCGTGGGGCCTTTGGATATTAAGCCCAGAGGAATTATTATTTACACGTTAACATATTTATACATATACACACACATATTGCCAACCATGAAAACTCCAAGAAACAAGAAGCAAGAGGCTGTCCTTAATAAAGTGGAGGAGAGGCACCACGGATTTAGGCCGACATGTTTGTTCGTGAAAGATGAGTTGCTTATGTTGGTAATGCGTTGTCTAACCCCACCACATCATATGTGTGCCGTACCACTTTCAATATTTCCTCCTTATTTATTTGCTATTTATTAATTTAATTAATTTATCATCGCCAGATATTGGAATCGAGGCGCAAGTGTTTCCGTTCCGCTCAGCGATTGGGTGTGTGTGTACACATCATCTCCTGTTTTATATTGTGAATACTTTGTTTACCCTTTTATTTATTTTAATTACACAACTTTTTCTTGTTACAAATATTTTGAAAAGATTCTAAATTTTTTTTCCAGCTTAGATTTACATGAAGAAAGTACTAAGAAAAATCGATAATATTCCAGCCTTCATGATCGGCTGATTTTTTTTTGGTTAAGTTTATGGAAACTTAGAAATTAAAGATTATTATAGACATCATGCCATCGGCCAGCGGATTATCCTGGCACAATTTGGTTACGACAATCAAATTATTTTTGTCAACTGATTGCACATGTCTAAAAATAAAGTATTATTTCCTTGCTGACCAAATTAATTAAAATCAATCAGGTCTAGTGATATCTCTTGATTTTGGAACAGCTCATCGTAATATGCATAATTCTGTTCACTATTGTTGGCCCAAAAAAATTATATTCACTATGTTTACTTTGTTTTTGTATTAAATACACAACTTAGGTTTAAAAAAAGACATGATCATTACATAAATAATACTCTTTCGGTCTTAAATATAAGATCCTTATACAAACTAGTATAAGGGTCTTATATTTAGGACTGGAACAGTATATACATACCCATGGCTCTGATCAGTGCAAGTATGTGGAGGTGGTCTGGATAACTTACCTTAAAATTGTCATATTGACGTTACTGTATGGAATAAGTCCATTTGGCATGTCGGCGGAATTTACATAATAATTTTTTAAACAAAAGGTCAACCAACGTTTCAATGATTGAGCATTTAATTTTTACAGTCAATATGGCGTGAAATATGGGCACACTCGAGCCCAACTGCTTCAACCCTTTTTAAAAAAAAATAATAATAAGTTACACTATAAAATGAAAAAAAAAAAAACCAATATGCAGGTCCTTATAGTTTTGTCCCATTTTGAATCAAATCCCTAAATTTATTTTTTATCTTATGGGATCCTTAATGTTTTAACTGTTTCATTTATTAATCCTTTTGTTTAAAAAATGTTAAACTGGGGTTAAATGCCATTAAAGATGCTTATATGGAAGACAAGTAAATTAGATGTGGCAACCCATCTTCTTTCATCACTGTAGAAAACTACTGCCGTTGATTTCTAAGAACCTTCTTCTCCAAAGGTCATCACCTGCAGAGGGCAACTTCAAGTTCGATGCTCCTCCAAACATCATCATGCCTAATGGCAATGCTAGTCCCACCAGATGCAGCCGATGTTGTTGGTGGCTCTGGCATGGTCTCTTTTGCCATTCACAGCTAATCAAGTACCTAATCAAGCCCCCTTTCTACCACTTCCACCACCAGCCTCTTTGACCAAATTGTAGATTTTGGAGTTAAAGATTTATACTGGGATTTTCAGGTCATGAACCGTACTTGCTTCAGCCCCTCCTCCACTTTCTTGAGTTTCAAAAGCCATCCTTCTTATCTCTATAAATCCTTCGTCCATATCAAACTACTCCTACATCTCACCATTTGTGAGCTTTCATGTCTCCAACTCTTTAAGTTGACAAAAAGAAGAACTTTTTTAGGAGACAAAAAGGATGTCAAGGCCAGCTTGGAATATACTCCCTCCGTTCCTTATTATAAGAGACAAATAACCGAATTACGTTGATCAAAAAAACAGTTAAAATTAGTTAAGAACAATTAATGTGTAAAAAGTATAATTTTTTTTCCAAAAATACCCTCATTAATAAGGAGAAAGAGCATGAGAGAGAACAATGGTAAATTATTAAAAGAAAGAGAAGTGAGAAGGAGAGAGAGTGTGAGTTGGAGACAATAAATATGGGTAAAATAGGAAATCAACACAAAAAAATAGAGACAACTTTTAAGTGTCTCTTATATATAGGAACATGCCATAAGCATCAAATGTCTCTTATAATAAGGAACGGAGGGAGTATATTATAAGCTTGGCTATTGAGAAAATGAGGGATAATTCATTTTAAGGGGCTTGAGATAGCCGCACAGCAAGAAAAGTACAATTGGCTAGACTCCAAATCTGTCAATTTATTAGCCTTAGTTCTTAAGTTCCAGTTCACTTTCATGCTCAAGAAACAATAATTATGCGCATGTTTGTTTGAAGCAACGCAAATAAAGAGAGGTTTGGCGAGTTTAGAAGCTTGCTGTTAATTGCATGAATAGCAGAGACAACAAAGAGAAGATGTGAGAGTCCAGGAAGGAGAGGTAGGATTTTAATGGGCATCCTTAAACATCAAGTGTGGGTGACATTCAACCCGAAGTCGAAGATGTCATCAACATTTATTGGGAACTGGGCATCAATTTACGAGATGTTTAGGAGGGTCAGCGAGCAGTTCACTGCCACGTGTCGGAAATCAATGCTACGTCTAATCCACTTGTCCTCCATATTAGCATCATCAACGGCGTTTAATCCTAGTTTGACGTTTTTTGATTGAACGGTTGAAACATTAAGGATCATATAAAATAGAAAATAACTTTAGGGACTTGATTCAAAATGGGATAAAATTACAAGGACCTGTATATTAGTTTTTTTTAAAATGAATCTTATATTTAAAACTGAAAGAGTACTATTTTTTGTTGCACATTAAATATAGGCACATTTTTTTATTAGAATTCAAACATTTCTTTATTATGTTATGACGGATTAGTTAGATCGTTCACCAACAAATTTATCACATTATCAATAAGATTCGAACTCACAATTTAATAAACTATGAGCTGACTTTTTATTAATTAAGTTAATTTTTGCGGGTGTCTTAGACGTTTTATCTTTCCTCTGACCCGTTCCAAAAGCTCCAATTGGCCCAACCTCTGACGAACCTTAGTATTGTTGGCCAGAGGGGAGGAAGGAAACAGAGTAGGAGGAGAAGGCCCTAAGGCTCAGAGTAATGACTGTCATTAGAAGAAATATAATATTAAAATGTAATGACTTATGAAAATGGATATCTCATTTGCATATTCTGGCCCAAAAAATAATATGCATACTTACAATTTTAATTTTATATGTAAAATTTCAAATCCAAACCTATCTATTCGAAAGTCACCAATATGTTTGATTAAATTTCATCTCTCGGCTTGAAAAAGTTTACTTTCAATATATATATACACACATTCTTTTTAATACTTCTTTAATTAACAGAGCACATGCTAATAATCTAATGTCCAGTGTCGTATGAAATATTAAAAATGAGAGATAGGAATTTGGATTGTAATTAAAAAAATATTAAAATAGTATTTAGTATGGTATTCTTCAATCCCACACATATGAGTTTAGCTAATTCAATATATTATGCTAAATACTTTTTGCATAAATTTTTTTCAATCTCAACCTTAATTTTTATTTCTAATTTATAATGCTTCCTACCAAAAAGTAACTTAAGTTTACAAATGAATGAGATTGAGCTCACAGCTTGAGTTTTTATGCCACCGGATGATAGGTTCCTTTTTAATGTTTCCATGCTTTTGAATTTGCATGTGAATATCCTCGTTTTTTACACCTATATCCATTTGACTTTAGTCCCCAAATCAAATCTGACTTCTGATTTCCAGGCAAAGTCTTGAGATTCTTCCACCAAATACGCAAATTCCAAATTTCATCAAATTGATACCATTTTTGTTTCAAATTGCTCAAATTTTCAAATTTTAGACATTATATATATGTGTCAATTGTTGAGTTCCCATTCAATTGAATAAAGCCTATATAATGTGATTCTAGAATCAAATCTGTTGATGACATTTTTCTCCTTAACATAATGTCCGCAGTTCCATTTTAAAATAATCACTACTTTAGCAATTTCAGTGTATTATCAATATGTATAATAAAAAGGGAGAAAAGTATGCTTTTTTAAACAAAACAAAACAAAAAAAATCATTCATGAACAAACTAGTCGACTTCAAACACGTATTAACATGGCCAATTTAATTTAGTAAAAATCTTGTGGACACCAAACCGAAGGCCAGCAAATTCAACAATTTAGTTAGAATCAGCCGCACAACCACACAAAATTTAACCAATTTTTTCTTTTTAGAATATTCAATTATTGCATATAATATATATTATCATGGAGAACCCTGGGAGAGAAATTTATAATGATACATCCATATTAACAGTGAGATTAATTAATGATATAATTAGCAAAAGGAAAAGGAATGGATCAAGAGTTTCAAGGTTAGGTAACCAATAAACTTCCAATCCTAGCCCTGCTTATATTTTTATATTGTCATCTGTTGTCTACTCTTAAATGGCCTATCATTGACTTAATGATTACACATGAGAGTACTACTGTCCAACTCCAAAACATTATTCTTTTTAAGCAACAAACACTTCATAATTCAACTTGTTTGTTGTAACCTTTGAAAATCAAACAAACCATACCAGTCAAAAGCGTTAAGTAAAGCAGAACCACCTAATTTTTTTAAAAAAGAAATAAAGTGTAAATTATAAAGAAGAATAACACTATATATATATATATATATATATATATATAACTTTGATGTCAGAAATTACTTTAAGCAAACCTTAATTTATCTGCGGATTAAAGGAGGCAGGCGTGAGTTGGCTTTTGAAAGCGGGGGTAGCTGTGGGGCATTGATACAGAGAGTACTCTATCATATGAGTTTGATTCAGAAGTTTTAATGTTCAAAATTATTTTCTTACTTCAATTTTATTGTCTTTTGTACTACTCCTCCAGTCCTAAATATAAGACTCTTCTTATATTTAGAATCGGAAGAGTATCATTCAAACAAACAAGGAATTATATTTCTGTAAAGCAATAGACTGTTATTTCTGTGATAAGGCTTACATGAATAATAGCGGTAGTGATCATATTATAATTATAATTGACATGAGCTTTAAAAAAAATTATACTCTGCTCTTAATATAAGAGTTAGTTGATTAATTTGAGTAAATTAACAAAATTTGTTAAGTTAGTTATTTGTAATTAATATATGCTATCTTTCATAAATATTCTAACTAATCATGTGTTTAGTTAGAACTACTATTTGGTGAAATCTTTAACATAAGCAACTAGTACAAGGATTATCTTAAAAAACTAAATAAATATAAAAAACAAAATAGATTATAATCTTATATTTAGGATCAAGTTAAAAGTTAAATTAGTTCTTATATTAAGGACCGGAAGTAATATAATATTAAGTGAAAAAACGAATGAGAAATAGTCTAGATCAATTTAATATGTACGAGTGGGAAATTAAGAGAGAAAATATGAACGCGGGTCCTGGGAGTTCTTCGTCAAACAGTCAAAATAAATTTAATCTACAAGAAGGAGAAAAGAAAATTAAAAGAGTGGGCCTCATGAGAAACTTTTTATCGCGGTGGAGAAAGTAAAATCTGTTCGAAAATATGCACCGGAGAGGAGGAAATGAACCCAACATGAGCCCTACACATACTGTTCATAATGATTCGGAGTAAATTACAAATAAAGACTTTTAAAATTAAAAAATTACATAGAAGACCCATGTACAAAATTGTTCTCATTTGTTGTCAAAACTAATAATGAATCCTCATTTATAATTTTTTATTTTCAATATCGTGTTTTGTGATTTTTCCGGCAACTTGTCAACATAAAAAAATAACACATAATTTTATATAATAAAAAATAATCAACTTAATCAATTTTAATCCTTTCGAACCAGTTTATTGGTCTTACCTCTCCATCCCATGTTATATAATGTTTTCAACTGTTCTACACAAACTAATACAGGGTAATCATTTATTTAAGGACAATGCTCATATCAAATTTTTTTAATATTTATTATATTAAATTCTTTAATTAGTCATATGTCCTATTTTTAAAGTATTATCATTTAAAATTATAATTCGGCAGGAAAAATAAAACATATAACTATGTTTAATTAGAAAAATTGATAATATAGATATAAGAAATCCGGATGTTCTTCTTTATTCAATAAGCATGAAAGTCGCTTGACTTTTCACTTCGACTCTAGTCAATTAATGAATACCCGTTTCCAAACTATAATTATTTTTTTACTGCATATACTGAAATTCTTAGTTTGTTTGAAATCTAACAAGTACCACCATCATAAAAATAAATATGGTATAATTTCTTATATTATAGGACAAAAAGAAATTCTAGAAGGCCTTGTTATTTAAAAAAAAACGCATGGAGCATATTTTATGATGGGAGGAAGTACTTTTCAATAACAATTGCTTGTTACTATTCTTGAAGTGCTTATGCCCATGTTCTGTTTTACAATATTCTATCATTAATATAAAATCTAGTTTGACTTTTAATTTGATTTTAAATATAAGATTTTAATATATTTTGTTTTTCATGTTTATCTTTTTTTCTTCAAAGTAATTATTATCATAGTTGTATATGTTAAATAGTTAATTAAATGGTAGTTTTAACTAATACATGATTAGTAATGATATTTTAAAAAAAATAACACCAAATTATGACAAATAAGTAACTAAACAAACTTTTAATATCCATTTATTTGCAGAAATAAGTATAAAAGATGTATTTACGAAAAATGTGGATAAATTTTAGGTATGACTCTCAGTTCATACAATTAGATTCATATTTGGAATGGTTTGAATCAACTTGTGTAATTTTTTTAAATTAGAATCTTAATTTTCATTATTTCAATTTCTTGGAATTTGAATGTTATTTTCGCTAAATTTTTACTTTTTTGGTAAATACTATATAAATGGGAAAAAAATCAATTCACGTCAAATTATTGGGCTATGTATTATTTTAAGACCAGAACTTTTCGTGACCTGCATCTTTCTTTTTAGATTCTGGTCCTATTCAATTCTGATTTCTGACGCTCGGGACCATTCCTTCTTTTGAATTGCCAAATGGATACGGAATGGAATAGAATAGAATGACCCAATTCATGAAAATTAGTAAACTTATCCTTAGGCTTCTCATTTTCACTTCTTTTTTTCAATACTCATTTTTTTAGTAAACTAGGTGGTCTCTTAAATGTTTTAATTTTTCAATATAAATATAATAAATCTCCTGACACCCATTAAATAATTCATTTCCGGAAATCCGAATGGATCTCGGCCTTGGGGTTGATGCAAGCGTTCCTTAAAAGTCAACCACCCAACATTACGTGATTTTTTCACAAAATTACAGCTCCGTTTCCTGAATTACTAATTTATTATAATATTCTTAATTAGCATTTTATTCACTTTTAATTTTCAGAACAAGAAATAAATTTCTCTCATTAATTTTTTATTATATGTGAATATAAAATTTGAATTATTCTACTATAAATAATTTTATTTGGACATTTTTGTTTGATGTTTAAGTCAATAATATCTGTCAACACTTTGGAAGCTCACCTAATTAATATTAATACTTTATGAGTATTTAGTAGTACCCTCCTTCCCGCGCCCCCCCGGGCGGGTCCCTCTCACTCTCTTACATCCTTCCAACCTCAGCTTGACTCGCAGGCCCAGTTCACATAAAAAACAAACGTCTGCTTTTATATCGATCCTCTCTCCTTCTTCCTCGCTCCCTCGCCTGTCTCTCTGTCTCGGCTCAAAGACCATGATTCAACTTGAAAGCTTCAATCTTCTCTGATTCCTGCTCCGACATTGTAATATGGGCAGAAGCAGAGCTTTGTTAGAAGTGAAAGGAGCAACCTTTTTGTCTCCCTCACAAACCCCGCCGCCACCATACTTGATTTCGCCTCCCAACGTTGTTGGATCTGAAGATTCGAATCTAAAAGACAGCGTCAGCCCCAGCGTACTCCTCATCATCATCATCCTCGCCATCGTTTTCTTCGTCTCTGGTTTGCTCCACCTTCTTATTCGCTATCTATGGCGGCCACAAACCAGAGACCCGGACGATTTAGACACTACTGTTCTTCAGGGACAGCTTCAGCAACTGTTCCACCTCCATGATTCGGGAGTCGACCAATCCTTCATCGACACCCTCCCTGTCTTCCCATACAAGGCCATCATCGGACTCAAGAACCCTTTCGATTGCGCCGTTTGTTTGTCGGAATTCGAGCCGGAGGACAAGCTCCGATTGTTGCCCAAATGCAGCCATGCGTTCCATATGGATTGTATCGACACTTGGCTCTTGTCTCACTCTACCTGCCCCATTTGTCGAGCCTGCTTGCTCAATGATTTCTCCTCCAGCAACGGTTGTTCCCCCATTGTTCTGGTCCTCGAATCTGGAAGTGACAACAACTCCAGGGAGATTGCCCCAGAGACAGACGAAATCGGATCCAGGTCCACCCGGTTGGACTCGAATCCCGATTCGCGTGAAGTGGTCACTGTGAAGCTGGGAAAGATCAGAAATGTGGATAATAACAATGGTGAAGGTAGCAGCAGTATTGGTGATAATGCGGATGCAAGAAGGTGCTTCTCTATGGGGTCTTTTAGTTATGTGATGGACGAGAGTTCTTTGCTTCATGTACCCATTAGAGCACAAATAAAAAAGAAGCACGCTTTGCGATTAACTACAGGAAACAGACTCGCAATGTCAGAGTGTGACTTTGAATCGAGAAGGGATTTCAGATTCTCAGGTTTGGATGGGAACAGGGTTGAAGAAGAAACTGCAGATAATTCAGTCTCTGGGGTTGTTACCAGAAAGGAGAGTTTTTCGGTGTCCAAGATTTGGCTTCGGGAGAAGAAAGAGAAGCGGAATAATGTGCTTGAGGATTCGTCAAGGAGGGCTGTGTCGTTTAGGTTTCCATTGCAGATAAACGAGGATGATGGCGATGCCTTGAAGGAGAGGAATGGGAAATTGGAATCAAGAAGCACGATTTCTGAGATGGATATTACAAAATGGGAGAATGGAGGAGGGAGTAGTGAATTTGGATATGATGATGAAAACCAGAGTTGTTACAGCGTAGATTCGCAGGCGATTAGGGCCCCTTCTTTTGCAAGAAGAACACTGCTTTGGCTCACAGGAAGACAGAGCAGAGTTGTTCATTCATCCTCTGCTTCTGGCGATTTGTAGTTAGTTTCTTCTTTTGAGAGTTTTGAATCATTTTTTGCTCCTTGGATGTTAGAATATTCAGTCTAGATGAATCATCATTACAGTAGTACATCAGCAAAGAAGTGAAAAGAAAAGACAGGGACATGAATGGACTATGAAATTTCAATTTTCTAATCCAATACCCTATTTCTTCTGTTCCATTGAGCACGAAGCCACTTCACTGGAAGAAAATGGTACTGCACCTTGCACCGTTCCCTGTTCATGGGTCAATTTTTTTTTTTTAAATATTACTTTACAGTATCACATAAGCAATTTACACAGTAAAAAAATCTATTGAGTCACACGTTATCATTTTCTACATGAAATCTCATAATCATGATCTTCACTTGTTGTGATATTTTTTTCAATAATTCATAATTATGGGTTAGTGACATTGCCGGTGTTTATAGTTTTGATAAAATTTTAGTTTTAATCTCTATAGTTTTAAATAATTGATTATGATACCATAGTTTCATAATTTTTTGGACTGACTTTGACAAATAGTCTTCATAGTTCATGCTATTAGTGAGTTTTAGTCGCAGTTCCTACGTTTAAATTTAGAACAAGTTCTTTCCATTGTGAAACTCTATTATAGGGATTAAAATGAATGATTTGAAACCACATGGATTAAAATTAAAAGTGGATCTTGATTTTTGAAGTATAAACTAGCAGCATAAAATTTTCTGCGGTAATTTCGCGAAATAATTATAAAGGCGGGGGAGGGATGAAGATATATGAGGGAAATTATAGTTGACGCGTGGAATTGAATTTGTGAATAAATGACTGAATGTGAATGTGATAACCATACGCGCTAGCAGAAAGCCATGAATGTTTATTTATGAGGAGCGAGAGAGTGTGGAAGCGACATTGAAGTGACAGGTGTGAACTAATCAATATTGATGCTCTTTTATACTCCATCGGATTTCAAATATATCTGGTCAAAAAAAAAAAATCGGATTTCAAATGTAAAATAAATTTTATTTATGTATGCTTATTAAAAAAGTTAGTTAGAATTATTTTAAAATAATAAATATGTCAGGTATATATTTTTTTCTAAATATGTTTTTATTAGTAAAGAGAATAAATAAAAAATATAATAAATAAATAAAGAGAATATATAAGGAGTGAGATTTAAAAAAGACTGGTTAAATACTTAGATAAAAATAAATGGTATCTTATTTAAAAAACCAAACTCCTCCAATAAAATTTATCTTATATTTTGTACTGGAGAAAATATTTGGTTGGATTGGGAAGCTTAGCAAAAATATGGAAGCTGATCAAATATCATTGAAGGAATTAGATTTCTGATATTCATTCATATTTATGTGTTTAAGAAGAAAATGATACCAAAAATAACTATGCATTTATTTTGGGCCAACCATATGAATAATAACTATACAAGGTAAACATTTCATTACCCGCCGCACACATATCTCCGTGCACAATAGTATGTTTTTTTTTTTTCAATTACAATCCTAATTTTTATTTTTAATTTTTAATACTTTGCACTAAAGGAGATTTATAATATGTTTGTTTATTAATTTAAAATTGAACTGACATAAAAGTTAACTCAAGTATTTTGACTTTAGGTCCCATAATAACCAATCCCTTGAGGCGTAGAGATTTGTTGCTAATTGATTTGATTTAATTTGCACCGTTTTATTGATGCCCAGTAAGTATGCAAACATTAAAACAAGCCCTTTTATTAGGTTAAGGGGGGAAAAAAGATAAATAAGGTAATGGAAAATGGTTGGATACGTACGTGGTGTAATTTGGGGCACCTAACCCTCCCTCTTAAGCGCGTCCCACCCTTTGCTTAAATGAGCCCGATAATGCCAATGACGCGTATGCCCACCACAGCTTGCCTGTACTTCCTTGTTACCCTGTTACACCAAAATGGGAACCAGCGTTAATTGCTTTTTAATATTAAAAAAATACGGTCTGTAAATATAATTATTTTGAAGAATTTGTTTAATTAGTTAAGGAAAATTATACTTAATTAAATATATTAGAAAAATTAACCTTTCTTTATGAAACATGCAGAATGTCCTTATACTAAAGACCGGTATCATTTTACAATTGATTTACTAGCCCTAGTCTTAAATATAAGAACTAATTAGCGGTCCTAAATATAATATCTCAATTCACTTTGTCTCTCAAATTTATAATGTGTTTTCAAAAAATATCCCTAATAATTATAAGGTATTTCCACCCAAATGTAATTTTAATATACAGGATTGAATGACGGTAATTTAAGTAAGTAAACACACATTTGTTACAACTAACTAATTTAACTAATTTTTTTAATCTCTCTAAATTAATTATCTAGTTTTTATATTAAACAGTGAAGGCATATTTGTGAGATAATACTCAAGTGTTGGTTCTAGCTGGAAACAGCTACAACGCAAGGTTTTGGGGTAAAATTCCCGCGAAGGCAAAAGATGTTTCCTGAAAAAGCTGTTTATTTATCAAGTAATTTTTTATAAATAGGTAAAAGCAAATGTAAGTTTACACATTTTGTGTGTGGCTTGTTTAAACATTAGACGTAAGTTCTGTGTTTACAATATAAAAACCGTATCAGAAAATATATAAGAGTTAGTTGAGTAATTTGAATAAATTAAAAAAAATAAGTTAAATTAGTTATTTATAATAAATAGGCGTTGTCTTTTTTAAAATATCTTTGCTAATCAAATATATTGGCTAAAACCACTATTATTAGAAAGACTACCTTGAAAAAAATACATAAATATGAGAAACAAAGTGAATTGGAGTCTCATATTTAGGATCAAAATAAAAGTCAAACAAGGTCATATACTCCTCTAGTCCTTAATATAATACATATTTAACTAATTTGACTAAATCAAAGAAGTTAGGTAAGTTAGTTAATTATAGAAAATATGATATGTTTGCCATCTCTCTCTTCTACTTAATTATGGCTGGAAGAATATCCATGATCAAAATTGACTTAATAATTAGATCCTATATTAAGGACAGGAGGTAGTATAACATAAAATTTGTGTGGCTTTTTACTAAATAATAAAATAAATATATATATATATTTATATATATAATGTTTAGAGCGGCAGGGAGGTAATGTGGGGAGATTTTTGTTGAGACCGGGCAGCATGTGTCAAAATCACTGAACAATGGAAGAGGCTGTCTTTTTACATTTACTCTCTAATAATTGAGTTTGTCCCATGTTATGTATCACACCCCAAAATCAATAAATAAATAAAGTGAGCTAAAATTCCTATTGAATTGTCAACAACATAAACATATTTCCAAACTACCCAAAGTTTTAAAATTGATTATTTTTTGTGGTTACAAGTTATTACCTTCGTTTGCTGGTTACTTCTGTGCTCCACAACAATATTCACCTATTATCTTTATGATTGGAGACATAATGCGTATGCATGAATATATGAAGAATTATTTCTTGAAGCTTTTTCGTTTTTTCCCATTTTCCCTCTGCTGGTCCCCCAGCCAAGCAATGAAACTTTCAGCGCACATGTGAATGTCTATGTCTAATTAACGGGGCATACCATATTTTCAAGTTTAGCAATATGTTTTTTGATTGGTTATTTGGGCAATAAGTGTCTTTGGGGATAGTTTGTGGATCTGAAATGCTGGAAGAGATGCAAGGCCCAAAGGGGAGGAAATAGATACAAGAGGGATCACATAGATCAATGAGGAATTTGGACCAAAACATGTTATGAATAAAGAAAAATAGCAAATAAAAACCCCTCAATATATAAAATTAGGATTTGGGACCCTTAATTTAAAAAATACCAAATAAAGACCCGGTCTTATATTGTAAATATGAAATCTTGGTGAAACGTCTGAAATGTCTCTCAGTCAAATTGTGATTTGGTTAACTAAAATTGTCATTCGCTAAAATGAACTTTTCATTTCTCATAGTCAACTTGTCATTTGACATAATCTCAGTCAAGTTATAATTTGGCCTACTGAAGTTGTCATTCGCTAAAGTGAGCTTGTCATTTCTCATGGTCAATTTGTCACTTGGCCAAGGGGCATTTTAGATATTTCATTAAAATTTCATATTTATAATGTGAGATCGAGTCTTTATTTGCTATTTTTTAAATTGAAAGTCCCAAATCGCAATTTCACATATTAAGAGGTCTTTATTTGCTATTTTTCCTATGAATAAATTCTGAGAAAGCCCACTTCGGTATGCTCCTATTTATCCTCAATAATTTGTTTCCCATATTAAGTTTACCCAGGTCTAAATACTTAACAATCAATTTATAACCTATAAAGTTGTAATTTAAAACCCTACTATCAATGTAGGAATTTTATTGATAAGCAATTTGTAACTAATTCTATAACGATGAGTGTTCTACAAACGAAATTAGGAAGACTGAGCTTTTTGTGAAAATAGTAACAAGATCTCAAGAAATGAACATATTCACAAAAAGTCTTTATAACAACTAAACAGTCACTAGTAACAAGTTTTAGAATGAAAAAATGGTACTATTTCCAATCCTAATTATAAGATCCCGTTTGTAGATTATAAACAAAGTCTTATAATTAGGATCAGAAATAGTATATGATAATAGGTTTCAGTATTTAATAATTTTTCTTTTTTTAAAGACCAGGAAAAACTCGGGTTTTGTTAAACCTCTAGACGCGTGCATTTTGAAAACTCAACATTGTAAATTGACTTTGAATGTTGGACGCTGCAATGAGAAAATAAACTTTTTTTTTTTTGGTTACAGTGGGGGGGAAAAAGAAGAAGAAGACGCCAATATTGAGCTCAAGTCAGGAGAGGAAGCAAGAGATAGAACATATATTTTGATGTTCCCGAGGATTATTTTTAATTAACGATCATGATATCCCTCATAAATCACCCATGATCTGAAAAGAGATACACTTCCGGTTGCGAAGATAAATAGATACCCATAAAAATGTCGGGCGACAGAAATAGAGTTGATGCTTATAAATTGCTAATAAAGTGATGAACCTGAAAATATATTAAATGAAAGCAAATGAGTAGGCATGGGCATAGCATATCATATGTATGATTTATCAATATTCACAGACCCATCACGGGTTTGGATTGGATCCACTCCGTGCTTCCTTTTTTATTATCACTCACATTTTCTTCGTGAATAACTTGAATTACAAAGAAGGGACAAATCAATGGAGAAAGGTTTATAAAATCACAGTAATGCCTTAAAAGTTATTGATTCGAAATTGACATTAAACTCACATACCCTATATTTTCTTCATTTCATAATAGAATCTGAGTGTTTGTTTGGAACTGTTTCTGTTATATGTTTATAATTCGAGACAAAACTCCACTCATATACTAATATCATATTTTATAAATTGAAAAGTTGCTGTTGAAGGATTCTGTATAGCCAGAGGCAAGCAAAGATCATCATTCAAGTAGTTGGAAATCTGTGTCAGCACTTGTGTGAAGCAAATGACTTGGCATGTGTTTGCCTAACAAATTCAAAATTATACATATATTTTTGGCTTTCAACATAAAACTAAGCAAGTAATGATTAGCTCCAGCTATATGGTCCAAGTGGCAAGAACTTGTAAGTCTAGTTTATTTGAAAATAGCCGATCCAAATTGCCAGTCTCCCCCGTAGCTTTCTGGCACGTTCCTTATGGACAATCTACAAGGTTTCGGGTTCAAACTTGGTATGATACTCATCCGATCTTAAATATAAAATTCTTATACTAGTATGTATAAATGTTTTATATCTAGGACTGGAAAAATATATACCATTTCTTCTATCCAATCCAAATTATATAACAAGTAGTAAATTTGCACTAATTGGGACCAAATGTCCAATCCAATATAGCCCTGTTAATGGAGACGAATCTGGCCACCCAATCAGGGGATAAAATAAAAAACTTATTTTTGCCCTTATTTTACTTTGCCTCTCATTTATTACTATATAGACTGTTATTTTTAAAGACATCATAACAAAAATAATGTCGTTAAGACTCTTTATTCTAAGACGGTTAATGGGCTTTTCTGATCCTATTTATAAATCACTTTCAACATATTTCACACAAACTATGAAAATTTTAAACTTCATTAACTTTTATTTAAAATGTAAAAAGTTTTTAATTTTATCCTCATTTAACATATATCATACGTCATTAGAACAAAATCAATATAATATTAAATAAAGGATAAACATGTAAATTTATATGAAAAATTTTGCTATCAGCCCGCTGGCATGAGTATCCACTTCTTCGAAAATATCTTCATAAGAAATTTTTCAATCTCACGTAAAGCATTCTAAGACGTCTGATATAACCTTCGACTGATTCATTCACACTTTTATTGGGTCCACCAAACTGATCATCTCGGACTCGAATTCCTCCAGTCGCAGTTTACTCTTCTGCTTGAGTCCAAAAAAAAAAAAAAGTTTACTCTTCTGCTTAATGACTTTGGGCTACAGTGCTTTGGGGACTCAGTTTAGTTGTTCATCCAAAGCAATAGATCTCAGCTATTCAAAATTTTAAACAATTCAAATTTAAAATTTTTAATTCATTAATTTCAAATAAAAATCATTTTCAAAAATTAATTAAAATATTATTTTAATAAAAATATTAAATATTAAATATGAACTGTTCAGAAATCTAAATAACGATGTGTATCTAACTTCATTCCCTCCCCATTGGTTTTATATCAAATGAAATTGTCAAGAGGTTGCAATAAAGTCCATTTACCTAAATATGCAATAAAATTGAATGCAATATTCTAACTGAAAATAGACGTTTAAGTGAAACTAAAATATTAGGCCATCTATTTATGCAAGAGTATAATACAAAAAACTCATATTATCATTAAGATTTGCAATAATTTTTAATTTACAAATATAAATGCAAATCTTTGCATTCATATTTTAGTTTCGCTTAAACGTTTATTTTCAGTTAGAATGTAAATATTTATTTTTCATTCGGGCGAAAAGTAAATATCTATTTTTGAGGAACGCCGACGTAACGCCTGTTTTTGGAATTGGAACCATAACCTATGGACCGCCCCCTGATTTTTTCTCTCTCTGATCCCTAAACGGCAATCCTTAGCCGATCTGCTCCTGCAATTTCCTCAGCCATTTTTCTCCCTCTCCCTGTCTCAATCTCTGATCCCTAATTTAGTTCCATTCCCAGTTCTCCAAAATATCACGTTTCCGGTTCTTGTTCTTCCCTCTTCGATCAATCTTCCTTCATTATCCTCTTCTTCTTCAATCTTAATTCAATCCCATGCCTCCTCCTAGTCCTCCTATTCATCACCATGAACAAACCCAACCTAAGCCCAGCCCCAAGCTCCTATCAATCCTCCTTAAAGCCGTCATCATGACCCTTCTCACCTCCGTCTTTTTCATCTTCCTCGGTTTCGCTGCCTTCGTCCTTCTCCATCTCTGCTTCATCGGCGGCATCTTCCACCGCATCCGCTCCCGCCCCACCATCCAACTCGGTGCTTCATCCAATGGAATCGCTCCTCGTGACGTCAAGAAGCTGCCCCACTTCCGGGTTGCTAGCGGAACCGAACCCGGACCCGAAACTCAATGCGTTGTCTGCTTGGATGGCTTCAGGAGCGGCCACTGGTGCAGAAAGCTCGCCGGATGTGGCCATGTGTTCCACCGGAGATGTGTGGATACGTGGTTGGTGAAGGTGGCCGCGTGCCCCACATGCAGGACGCCTGTTCGATCAAATGCAGGGAGCGCTGTAGGTTCGGCTCTAGATGTCAATAGAGAGGAGGCTATGCGACATCGAACATCTAGTAGGGGCAGTGCATACAGGATTTTTTAGCTTGTAAGTTCGAATATTTTCAATTTCTGTGCTATGTAAGGATAATAAGTTTTCCCCTATGTACAGTATGATATACGTATTTCATCTTCTAAATTTTTGTTTTACTTTCTCTTCGATTTGGCTGGTTATCCACTTTGTATTTCTTTTTCTTTTTTTTTTTTGGGGGGGGGGGGTTTTGTTTATCCACATGTATATATGGGTATGACTTTGCGTTCGAAGGCTAGTGATAAGAAAATTATTGGTAGTCTTGATTTCTGTTTTAGTGGCATCGTAATTATGCAACACTAAGGATCATTTGTTCCTTTTTGCTACTCTAAGTTTTAGGACAACGACTCTCGTCTTTATCGCTGCACGACAAGTTCTAGGATAAAAGGAGTTTCTTTATTTGTGCATACAAATTGCGGAGACACTCTTTCCCCTCTTTTGTTGTACCTTTGCTTAAAGTTGCTCCCTTTTCCTCCTTTATTGGCTAATCTCATCTCTACTATCTTTCAGCTATGTAGTGGAAATCTCACTTGTGCAATTTATGATTCCTTTGATGGTAATTTAGTATGTATTTGCTTGATGCCTAATAGAGGATGCCTTTAACTGACACCCCCCAATTCAAAACAATCCCCAAAAGAAAAAAAATTGAATTATGACACTTTTCTGCGAAGTCACCTGGTTCCATGGCTGTCAACTCTCTCACTTTTACTCGCAAAAAGCCTTATGCAGTTCGCCTCAGAAGTGTAGATTATAGATGTTGGCGTAACTCCCCCGAGGTTGGTTGGAAGGCCCAACCCTCAGTTTAGGTTTCTTCTGTGATGAACTCCTCTGATCTGACTGAGGACTCATCTGTTCACCAATGAAGTATCTTGCTGATTGCTTTTGATTTTAAACTCTGATTATCTGACAATTGCAGTTGTTTTTCCCCGGTTCAGCTATCAGAAGTATTTTTGGATCTTGTCCGGCTTGAATTCTTCCCTTCTCCAATATTAGGGCTATGTTTTGGAGGATATGAGGGAAGGGAATGAAATGGCAAATAATGGAATTGAAATGGGATGACAACGAGTGGAATGGTAATTCACTCGCCATTCCATTGTTTTGGGATTATAATATGGCAACGAAAGGACTCATTAATGGAATGGAATGACTTGCACGTTATTTTCCCAAAATTTCCTTAGTAGCTGTTATGTGATCCTAGCAATGAGGATATAATTGTATGTCTATCACATTTGATCTTTCATCCCCCAGACACATAAATTGGGTTTTTAGATAAGAGGGAGCGGTCTTGGAGGCCATCCTTTTGACATTCCATTACCACTGCATCCTTCAAAAAACTCCTTACAGTGGCTGAACCCACTCTAGCCATTTCATTTTATTCTATTCCTTCCCCAGGTCCATCCAATCACACCTTTTCTCTTGCATCAGCATCCAGCAGCACTTTAAGGTCTTTTTTGGTAGGGGGCATTGAAAATTACGGATAGAGTTGGGATTGGGATTGGAATTGAGAAAAAAATCTATTAAAAGAATATTTAGTATAATAGATCGCTTGTTATATAAAAGTAGCCAAACCTATGAACCTGGGATTAGAGTATATCATGATAGAAAGTGGTATTTTCTAATTCCACTTCTATGGGTTTGCCTAGTCTCATGTAACAAGCAATTAATCATGCTAAATATTATTTTAATGATTTTTCTCAATTGCAATCGCAATTTCTATCTCTCATTTTTAATGTTTAATACCAAACCGGACTTAAAAGTATTCTCTCCCACATGGTGTATTGAGAATTTACTTCCCAAAGTGCTTTTATGATAAACGACCTGAGCTGAAGAGGAGAGGCGTAATCTTATTCACCTACTTGAGCTAATCCCTGTTGGCAATAATTACTGATTATAACTTGCAAGACAAATGGTCAAGCTTTTAGGAGTACTCTTTAGTTCATCCGTTCATGATCCAATATATAGTCTGCCTACTCAATCATCTAGGGAAACTGGTTAGAGAATTTGGTTAAATTAAGTCTAAAAGAATGTGTATTGATAGAATTTCTGACTCTTCCTTCTTGCTTGTCTTTTTACGGTAGAAGTTTGCTTCTTGAGAGAATTTTTATGCTGTTCTCACTGGAAATTCTTTAAACTTGTCATCCTTTTTGTTTGAGGTCTTACGGCTAGGTTTTTGTAATGGTAATCGTCATTACGATATCGTCATATCAGCCTCTGGTATTTAATTTTGCCTTCACTTGTTGATGGATGATACGTCATTTGCTTCCTGGACGTGGTTAATATGAGATACCTTGTATTGTTCAAATGACTTGCTTTATGTAATTTATGCAATAAGTTGGTTGCTTCATTTTATAGTTGCTTTGGTCAGGCTTGTTGAAGATATATTCTTGTGTTTCTCCATGGTTACAATGGGCGGCTAGAGTGAAGTAGGATCATAGATATTTTTGATGAGTTTACTGGGTTGCTTGAGGCAAGTCCAAGTTTTTATCTAAATTTTAATAGCTGGATCCCATCTTTAATAAATTATGCCCTCCAATTGCTTGTATTATTCACTCAATAGAATTCCTGTTGGTAGAGTTACATGAATCACATGGTATCATTATATTTTGTCAACAATCAAGGGAAAACATTATTTCTTCTTTTGTAAAGTTGTGATAAACGTTATACAAGAAGCATTGCGCCACCCCTTTTTTGGGTATATTTGTGATAAATTGTCATGTGATTAATTTTTAGCAGGGTGTGAGCCATGCGTCTTAACTATGACAATGTATAGACGACTTTGAGGAATAAAGGAGTTTTGGAGGATGGGATAGTTTCCTAGCAATTTCTTGTCTCTTCTCCCCCCCCCCCCGGGCCCCCCAAAAAAAACTATTTTTGTCATTTGGTTCTATTTCCCTTTTGATTTGCCACAGCCGTGTACTTGTTCAGATATGGGCAAAATCCGTTTTATGATGGCGAAACTTATAATTGCACTAACAACATTTCCTAGTTTGGTCAAAGATATGTTACTGCCTTAAAGCCTTTAGGTGGCGCTCATGCCATGTGGAAACGAATTATCATCATGAAATAACATGTGAGGACTCTGGTCAAAAAAAAAAAATGTGAGGACTCGTCATGTTTGCACAAAGATGTTTTTAGGTTGGCAATATTTAAATTTAACTCGGTTGTACTGAATATAAAAATCGCGTAGGAAGAGTTTCAATTTGGATGGAAAAATGGCAAAAAAAAAAATCTTTGAATTAGTAAAATGACAAAATGAACACCTGAATAAATTAAATTATTTGAAAAGACCGGTTTTCAAATTGTAATTATAAAATGATGGTTAGGAGATTAAAATGTTTTTTCCCCTCTCTTTCTTTCATCACCTTGTCTCTTTCTCTTTCCTTCTTCTTTTTGTTCTAACGTTCTCTTCTCTATTAAAGCAAGCCAACATATTTTTTTTGAGGGTTTCAACACTTTATTTACTGTTGATAGCGACGATGATGATTTCAAGCAAAAAATGTTCAGAGTGTATTGTATTAACAAGGAACTAGGTCATGATTAGCAGGGCATCACTGGCTATGGCTATGCGGTGATGCCAATATTTGCAAGATCTAAAAGATGATGATTTTGATGCAACGTTGATATACCTAAATGAGCTTCTCAATTCGAAGACAATGTGTCTTAAATATATACTCCTCCGGTCCTTATTATAAGATCCAATTTGACTTTTTATTTGGTCCTAATTATAAGACCCCAATCCATTTATCTCTTATATTATGTATTTTTTTCCAAGATAATCCTTCTAATAATGATAGTTTTAGCCAATATACTTAATTAGCAAGGATATTTTATGAATGACAACACTTATTTATTATAAATAACCAACTTAACTTACTTCCTTAATCTCCTCAAATAAGTCAATTGGGTCTTATAATTAGGACCGGAGGAGTATTATTCGTTGCTGAATTTGACATTTATTTTTGGCAAACCGGGAGAAATTAAGGAAAATTACCGGAAGGCAATTGGTGAACTTATTACTCATGAAGTGCCAGCCATAAAGAATGCGCCAAATTTTGTTAAAGCTCAAGCATAATACTCCACCACATGTGTATGAAAATCAGCAAGTCAAGTCTCACGAGTTTGTGAGCTTCTTGGTGATAAGTGTAGTTGTGTATTGTGTAGACTTGCTTGAGAGAATTGCTTCATATTTTAAACTTGTTATTTCATATTACAAATTTGTAATTTTTTATTTTAAACTTGTAATTTTCTGTTTTAGACTTATTATTTTTTATTACAATTTTATAATTTTTTTAGATTTGTTATTTCCTATTAGGGACTTATAATTTTCAATTTTAAATTTATTATTTCCTATTACTTACTTGTAATTTTCTAGTTCAGGCTTATTTCTTATTGTAGTTTTATAATTTCCTATTTCAAACTTGTTATTTTTTTATTACGGATTAGTAATTTTCTATTTTAAGCTTGTTATTTTCTATTGTAGACTTGTCATTTCTCATTTTAAAATTACAATTTTCTATTTTAGACTTGTTGTTTCTACTGGTTATTTCCTATTGTAGTGTTATATTTTTCTATTTTCAACTTGTTATTTTCTATTTCAGACTTGTAATTTCTTATTTTAAACTTGCAGTTTCCTATTTCAAACTTGTTATTTCTTTTTGTAGTCTTGTAATTTCCTATTACAGACTTATAATTTTCTATTTTAAGCTTGTAAATAGCATAACTCATTATAGATTAAAAATACTTTTTAATTGTTTAAAAATACATTTTATAATTTAACCAAAAAGTAAAATTACTTTTAGTTTCCAATAATAAGTTTAACATGAGAAATAATAAATGTTGACTTAAAAATAACAAGTTCAGTTTGCTTGTCGTTATTGTATATATCTTATTGTATATAATCAAGTTTGAACTTAGAAATTTTTCACTTTCTTATTAAAACAAATAAGTAAGCAATAAGGAATTTTATATGATCCCATACATAATCAGAGCGCTTTTCCTCCAAAATTAGTTTGATCGTTTATGACTTAGAGAACCTACAGCAGCTAAGGTTTGAACTCTTCTTGTAAGCAGCAAGCTCCTCTTCCATATTTATTTTGTTCAAATCTTAAAGCCCACTTGTTCATGGCGGCCCCCGGTGACATACTCACTTCAATGGAATTCACACGCCCGGCCTCCTCTACTGTTGAATTGTCAATGCCTTCTTTCTTGCGCTATCAAACACATTTTTAATCTAAAAACTAGTTAAAAATTTAATCTAATTTTAAATATAAGATGATAATTTATTTTGTTTTCAATATTTATTTGTTTTGTCCTCAAGTAATCTCTATAGTAATTGCACATATTAAAAAGTTTTTATAAGGGATGGACTTCAATACACATGATTGATAATAATATTTTAGAAGAAGACAACATTGTTAGATATGTTTCATTTATTACAAATACCTATTTTAATTAATATTTTTAATAGTTATAAATTAATTATCTAGTTGTTATGTTAAGGAATTAGAGATTGTAATTTCCCAAGTCAAACCCAGCTTTAATGAACCAATATTAATCAAAGCACTCGGACTAACCAAAGGGGAGGATGCAATGTAGTAGTACGTATTTTCCACCCTAAATCCACAATTTGTCAAAGGGATTATCATGACAAATTCTGAACGGAATTAGGGAGACCTGTTAATATTAATTTAATTCCACAAAATATTACCAACGGCTGAAGCTCCCATTCGTGTCCCAACTGTTTGCCAAACCAGAAACAGACGCCAATTCCTAGGGGCTTTGTTATTGCTTAGCCGTCATCTGATTGGCTTCTACAAGCATCGCAAGAGCCGCCAAATTTACAAGGCTCAGAGAAAAGTGTTACCATATGTCGTATAAGTCATATTATTATTATTTTTATATACATATATAATTTTGCTTTTAATTTATTATTGTGTAGGTTTTACTATATAAAATTAAAAATTTATTAAATTTCAGGAGAAGGGTACATGCAGCAGCAATCAAACAAGGAAGAAGCCCTCAGGGGGTCTTCGTTAGAGAATTTAATACTGGTTCCAATATTAATGAAGCACAGGAAAAATTAATTCGCATGCCCTTAAAATAGAAACAGTGTGTGACGGTGGAGAGGGGGAGAGAGAAAGAGGAAGAGCGAGAAAATGTGTGGAGGAGCCAAAGTCCGCGATGTGTTCTGGTGTTCTATTTCCCCTTTCAAGATCCTCATCGATTCTCTGAAGATTTTCCTCAGAAACAAACGCTTCTTCTTCTCAATCTTCTTCTTTGTCTCCGTCCCTCTCTCCTTCCTCACATTCTTCCTCTTCATCTCCACCTACCCTCTTCGCGCCGAAATCTACCACCTCGAAGCTGTCGCACTCGTTGCCCCGACCCGATTCGAAGCCCGGCACGTGTGGCAGGAGTCCCGCGAAGACGCCATCTACCTCCTCCGAATCAAAGCCCTCTTCTCCATCCCTTGTTTCGTCCTCTCTCTTTTTGCAGCCGTAGCCGCCGTGCACGCCACCGCCCTATCTTATAATGGTAAAGTTCCAACTCTGCAATCGGCCGCCACGGCTTTCAAACAGAATTGGAAGCGTCCGACAATCACCGCGATCTTTATCTACGCAATACTGCTCGCGCTCGCTCCGCTTCAGCGGATATTCGCATTGCTGGCGCCGACGCCGGAGCTGAGATTGATAACTCTGACACTCGGGTCGGGTGTAGAGGTATACCTTATTGCGGTGCTGAGTTTAGGTCTCGTGGTTTCGATCTCGGAGGAGAGGTTCGGTTGGGAGGCGATTAAGGTCGGGTCGGGTTTGATGGAGGGGAGAAAGTTCTGCGGATGGGTGTTATCGGGTCTGCTTGTGTTGGTGTCGGGCCTGATCCGAGGAAAGATGGAGGTGTTGATGGAGGGTCCGATTACGTCGTCGGGGTTTCTATCGCCGACGAGCACTAAGGGCAAAATGGGAATAATATGTGCATATGGGGTGGCGGTGGTGTGGAGCTACGTGGTGACCACAGTGTTTTACTGTGAGTGCAGAAGACGGCATGGGGTCAAAGAACTTGAACACGAAGAAGACGAAGAAACGGGTATTTCGATGCTGTAATTATTGTTTTCTCCAATTCTTTTCCTGTTTTCTTCTTTATTGGATCAGATTTTAGATGCATCTTCATCTTTGTATCATCCAACCAAATAAGTATAGCTAATTGTGTACATTTGGATGAGCTGTGTTCCATTTTTATAATCTTCTCACAAGCTTCAATTTATTGCATGTCTTTTTGGAACTGAGTTCTTTTATTTCATCTTTATATCTTGCCTAAAAAGAAGCCAAAGAATTACTCCTCCGGTCCTAATTATAAGACCCAATTGACTTATTTAAGAAGATTAAGGAAGTAAGTTAAGTTGATTATTTATAATAAATAAGTGTTGTCATTCTTAAAATATCCTTGCTAATTAAGTATATTGGCTAAAACTATCATTATTGGAAGGATTATCTTGGAAAAAATGCATAAATATAAGAGACAAAATGGATTGGGGTCTTATAATTAAGACCAAATAAAAAATCAAATTGGGTCTTATAATAAGAACCGGAGGAGTAATAGTTTTGAAGCTGATGGAACTTGGTTTTAGAGCTTATGTATTAAAATTAATTATTAACCATAGTACATAAAACGAGTTTTACCTGGCGCTAAGATGACAGTTATTCATCAATGTCCTTTAATACAGCTCTTCGAATTTTTTATTCATAGGTCTTTTGATTTTTTTTTCCAAATCTTGTCTTTTTTTTTTTTTTAATTTAAACACCATTGAATTAACTGTTTTGAAGAAGTTCTTTGTCATTCCTTGTTAACTTAACTCTAATAATTTTTATTGAATAATTTGACAAAATGAATATTTTGGTAAGTACCACGGTTGGATATAAATAAAAAAAAATAAAAACTTGGAAATGACGGCAAAAAAAAGTTGGAAATAAAATTTATTACTCGTTTAGTTCTAAATATAAGACCTTTACAAGAGTTTTATATTTAGGAGTGGGAGAGTATAAACTTTAAACAAGCTGTTCCAACGGGGAAAAATTGAAGACAAAAGTGGAGAGTTAAAAACGTGTGTAAAATGTTTATATTGGATAGAGCGAAGTACACTGTAAAAGATAGGAGATATCATAGTTTCTATAATTTTACTATATATATGTACAGACATAATTAATTTGATAAGTCCGTATTCATATAATGTTAACACTAATTCATTAACAAAAAAAATAAAAAATGAGTAACAATTGTGGGTTGGCACAGGGAGCGGAAGCATCGCTTTATGCTTAAATCTTGATGGGCATTTATCCTCAAGGCAGATTCGTTGGCGTCAGATGCGTCTACTTTTTTCTTCTTTTTTTTTTGGGACTGAACAAATGCGTCTACTTTGCTTATGCTACTTCATACAAACCTAAGAAACAAAATTAGAATTAAAACATAATAGACATTTCAAATGAAAAGTCTAGTTTGGTATTTGACTGTTTTGAGACGAGACTTGGCTTCTGCTTAGGAATTATTATATGTAGAAAAAAATGGTTGCTTTGTTTCAAGTTATCACCTTCCTTCTCCGGTCAAAAAAAAGGTTAGCACCTTCCTTCCAAACCAAGTAAAATAAATAGGCAGCTTTTCCCCCCTTTGGTTTGGTGATGACATGCTTTAGGACCTTTCGTCGCATGAAAATCTTACCGCATCGCACCAGAATTAAGATGTGCGGTATTTATTAATATTTGTTTTATTACTCCTCCGATCCTTATTATAAGACTCCATTTGGCTTTTTATTTGGTCCTAATTATAAGACCCCAATTCATTTTATCTCTTATATTTATGCATTTTTTTTCCAAGATAATCCTTCTAATAATGATAGTTTTAGCCAATATACTTAATTAGCAAGGATATTTTAGGAATGACAACACTTATTTATTATAAATAACCAACTTAACTTACTTCCTTAATCTCCTCAAATAAGTCAATTGGGTCTTATAACTAGGACCGGAGGAGTACTACTCAGCAATACTTTATTTTTTTTAATTAGATTTTATGAAAGAGTATAAAAAGAATGCTTTTATCTGTAAATTATTTCTTTATTTCAATCCATTTACTATTCTATCTTAAAATAGATATTATATATTATGAGTTCCATTTTTATTTTTTTCTTTTTTTTTACGAGTACTGGGTTTAGATATTTTTTCGGCCTAGTGATTTGGAGCTGGATGAAATTGTCCACAGAACAGAAAGGTCTTTGTTGGCGTTCAAGGGCCAGAGGTGAAAGAATGGCCCGCATCGACTAAAAATGGGCCTCAGCCCAATGTTTGTCCAAAACATAAAAGAGATTGCCAGTAATTTATTCATTTGAGTATGTAAATCAACTGGACCATGTTCGGTTTCTAAATAATAATTGATTGAGACGCCTAATGGCCCATGGCCTTTGGTTTTTGGTGGCATGGCGTACTGGTTTGAAATCTCCCTCTAAGTGGGAGGACGGGAGTTTAATTTTGGTTTCAATCTCAAACTAATATTTTCTATTCCCCTAAATTCAAAAACAGATTGATAAGGATTTTTGGAAGTTTTTCTTTTTTTTAAAACTAATATTTTCTATTCCTCTATATACATTATATTATTATTTTTGGAAAATTTTCATCCTTTTTTAAAATTAAGAATACCAATATTATTTTGATGTGTACTTTTTTTTCTTCCTGAAATCTTTTTCTGTTGCATTATTAAATAAGCCTTAAATACATTTAACACTAATTCGGAGGGAACAATTAAGGCTATAAAATCACGTCTGTGCACTGACATAATTATTTTTGTCAAAAACATCTAACTTTGGGTGTTGTTATGGGAAAAAACAAGGAAAAACGTTGGATGTGAAAGGTAAAGGGTTCAGATTTTACCAAAGAAGCCTTTTGGCCCCAAAAAATAAGAAAGGATTTTACCGAAGAAGAGTTTCACAAACGTAGAATCTATTCTCCTCTAATTTTCCCTACATTATACGCAAAATATATTTTTGAAAATCGAAATTTAAAAGGTAAATGGCAAATGTGGAAAAGAAAAACATATATATGTGGGTTCTGGGGTCATAGATTGAAATGTTTTTTTTCCTTCCTTTGCCAACGTACTTGTAATCACTTTTAATTATACATGTTTTGTGCGTTAATTGTGGGAAATTGGAAAAAAATAAGTCTCTTACCGGCACAACTTCTGCGCCACACATTAATTAGCATCATTATGGCTAGGACCCTGGTTAACTTTAAGCTTATCCTTCCTGCCATTTGGATTTTGGGCCATATTATCTTCCCCTCAACAATAAACTACTATAAAAAACATGGAGTGAAATTGAGTCAGGCAGCAAAAACCACTTGGAAAAAATTACTATAAACTATAATTTACATCTGAGTTGAATTAGCGATAAGTGTAATATCTCCATTTTTAACATAAGAGCTAGTTATGAGGATGCATTTAGTCCTAAATACAATAAATCAATTTGTTTTTTTTCTTCTCTAATATGTATAATTTTTTTTCAAATTAATTTACCTATTTTATATACTGATACATAACCTAGTGGTATATAGAAATAACCGATTTTGAAAAGATTGAGTCACATTTGTTGTAATTAATTAAATTATTTAATTTTCTTAATTTACTCAATTTAATTAAATCATCATAGCAACGAGTACGAAAATCACGTGGAGGTGCTTTAGCAAAGAAGATTTTATGTGAGTATGAATTAACATTGCTCAAAAATGTCATTAGAATATAAGAATCATACTATTCCATAAGTCATGAAGAATATAAAGGTTTAAAATTACATGGAGGGCATGGAGTGAAAATGAAAGTGAGAATAAGTGGTGATGAATTTAATGGGAGTTTATTTGGAACTCACCTAAAAAGGGAACAATGGAGACATATCATCCCACAAACAAAAGAGGATGAGAATTAGGGAAAGGCCCACTTTTGAGTGTGAAGCATCCCCAATTTCAGGACTTCAACTGCAATTTGAACTCCTCCCAATTAGGACCTTGATACGGAATCTGACTTTTTATTAATTCATTAATTAATTATTTTTTGGGGGGGGGGGGTTCATTTGATGGTCGAAACTTTGAATGCTTCAATTCAACACACCAACCTACCTGCCTTGGCAGACACTTTCCTTTGCATTTTCGTATGAAATTGAGGTTTCTTTCCCACTGGTCAATGTGTCGTCCCCCCATTTGACTTTTTGAATTGGCCAAATATTCTTTTTGGTTGAATCAATGAACAAAGCCCTTTTACGAGCTCCTTTGCTTCTTTTATTTGGCGTGCTACCCACATGGGGTTTGAATATGGTTTGTTTCTTTGGTATGCTTATCTGCACACCATTATTCAAATATCTTCCAATAATTTTATATACCTTTTTATAAAATGAAATGTCTGTTAATGACTTTTATAGTCAAACGACAGATATTCATATAGTTACCATAATTCACACATGTGTAACAAATTTAGGACGTGTCACTAATAATGTATTTCTCTATAATCTTTGAGAATGGTTTTTTTAAAAAACTTATTATGGGTTAATAACTGAGTCCTTAAATATTATTATTTTTTTCTTTACCTTTCATATGTATTAATTTAAAGGTTTCATCTTAAACTTTATTAATCAAGATACGCTATTAAAGTTTAAGATATGCTATTATTTTTCTTTTCAAATGAATAATAAAAATGAATCGACTTTTAGATTTCATTTTGTATAGATTAAATCTTGCATTTTGAATTAAGATCTTGCCCAAAAAAAGGCATATTTATGGTTGTAAAAGGTTGATAGGAGTTATGGTTTCTTCCAATAAATATATATATTTCAATCGCAACCCTTTTCTTGTGTCTTGGCTTTGGCCGCGGGTATACTTCATTCATAATGGCGATGCGGATAGAATATAATGTGCCGTTTTTTCTATTAATTAAACAAAAAGAAGGAATTAATGGTTCGCATAACATTATTTTTAACGACAAATGTCTTGCTTTTGACTCTGTCTATTTTCCCCACGCCAACCTCCCACCACAAATCAAAGTCATAGAATCATTAAAATTTAAGATATATATATATATGTAATTATTATAATAATAGCAAGGATAAATGTGAAGAGAAGAGAGATGGTATGTTGAATTTGTGGGTTAAAAAAAACACACACACACACACAAACACACAAGAACAAGAGAAGCAGCTTCCAAGGAAATAGGCATTATTGCTGAATTGAAACGAAGCCAGGATAAGGATAGAA